TTTTTTTTTTTTTTTTGTACATCCAGATGACCACACTGTGCTTTTTACATAGTATATAATTCATTCCTGCAAAATCTTGCCCTTGGCTTAATTTTATGTCTTTACAGCCCTTATCATAAGGGCAACTATATGACCTGTGACCTCTCTGCTAGGTTTCCTGCCCCTCAGCCAATGGATGATGCTGGCCTCTTCTCCTACTTCACGTTGTCATGGCTCACCCCACTCATGGTCCTAGGTTTGCAGAGACGCTTAGATGAGAACACCATCCCCCAGCTGTCGGTCCATGATGCCTCAGACAAAAATGCTAAAAGGTAAAGTCTTATTGAGCAAACCACTGGGTTGGTTAAAGACCATGTCTTGTGGGATTGGTGACCAAGGATGCTTAAGAGTAGCAGGTAGGGTCAGTCTTCAGACAACCAAAGAATATTGACTCTAGCAAGAGGTCTCACTATACTTCATGAACCCCCTGAAATGGTACTTACTTTATATGTATAGGCTGGAGACCTTTGTCTGGAGCAAGGATTCACATCTTTTACCTGATTTGCCTAAGGGCCCAAGACCCCAAGAAAGTTAGAAATTGCTGCCTATTGTCCCTTTTGCTTTTTCTTCTGGATCAGATGTTTACCTATGTCACTAATCATTAAATTTTGGGTTAGTGATCAGTCTCCAAATCCTTAAGTCATCACTAACTAGGTGTGTGGTTAAGGTTCCTACACAACCTACTTCACAAGGTAATATGAGGATTAAAGGGGGGGGAACGAATAAACGACTTCAAATGTTCTATACTCATGTTCCTACCTCTAGCTACTTCATGAGAGACACCAGGTAGAGAATCACATTATCCAAATGTGCTCCAGGAAATGGTAGTCCCTGGAGAGCTTCCCAGAAGAGAGCATTCTGTGGTCAAGTGAGTCTGTGAAATGTGGCATACTTATTGCCAGGTCTCAGAGATTTGTTTACAAAGCAAATTAATGTACTTAAGTCACTGAGAAAACAGAAACTGGTTTAACTTTGACCCATTGCTTCTTGGAATTATTCAGTAAAGAAAAAAAAGTCTTCAAGGAACACCAACCTCTTGCATAATGCCAGATGTTGATCAGAATCTCACTGGCTACCCGCTATGATGTCAGGCAAGTCATTTACCCTTTCCAAGACCCTGTGTCTTTATGTATAAAATAAAGGATTATAAAATTTATCTCATGGTCCTTCACAGAATTGTTGTAAGAATCAAAAGAGGTGGTAAATTCAATATGAAGCACCTGGAAAAATGCCTGGTGCGTAATAGACAACCAAAGTGTTTGTTTGTCCTTCTGTGACCATTATGAGCACAGGATCTCCTGATCTATGTCTATTCACTTAGGGCTCACTGATTCTGCCGTTTTTGTTCTATAACTCACATGAAAGTGTCCACCAATACTTTTTTACAAATCACTCCACTTTGGGATTTTTTTTTTTTTTAATTATTATCCACGCATTCACCTTTACAGAGGCTTCTTTCTCTGTGTTCACCACTGAACCAGCAGGGTTCTGGGGTGCATCTTCCCTAGTCCTTCAGGAGAACTACTTTGACTTCTGTGAGGATTTGCTGACAAACTGCCAGCCATCAATCGTCACTACCACTCACATCAGCCACAGCAGCAGAGCCACCATTGTCACCACCATCACCTTCATTATTACTATCACAATTCGTATTTCTCATTTGCCCATCCAGCACCTCCCATGACCATTACAAAAGGGTTATGAAGTAAATAGGAAAGATGCGATTTCCCCCGTTTACACTTGAAGAAACTGAAAACTCAGAGAAGCAAAATTATGTTCCTTGAATCATAGTTAATGAATGGAGGAGGTGAAGTTTGAAACCATGTCTTTTGAAGATTTTTTTCTTAATTTACCTTAATGTTTGTTTATTTTTGAGAGGGGGGGAGAGGCAGAGAGAGAGGGAGACACAGAATTGGAAGCAGACTCCAGGCTCCGAGCTGTCAGCATAGAGCCCGACACGGGGATTGGACCCATGAACCATGAGATCATTACCTGAGTCAAAGTCGGACGCTTAACTGACTAAGCCACCCAGATGCCCCTGAAACCAAGTCTTTTGAATCTGGTAATCATGGTGAGAAATTGATACAGTTGCTAAGAGAGTTGAGAGCAGGCTATGGGGAAACTTGGATTTGTTTAGTCAAAGTGGAACAAACTCCAGAGCTTTTTATCTCTGTGGATTGGGTTACATGTGGGGATAGAGCTGGAATGAAGGGAGGTGGCCCCAAAGTTTGGCCCATGAATAATGAAATCCTCTAACACATATGGGTGTCATTTTTGCTTTACTTACCTAGGGCCCAGACCCCCCAAGTTATCTGGCCCACACAGATGGGCATGGGATAGGAGAGTTGTTTTATAAATTCAGGGAGGAAAAAGCAGCCTAGAGTTTTGATAGCAGATGAGGGAAGGTAGGACAGGAAAATTCTCATGATGTTTGTTTCCTTCTGGCTTTAGGCTGGGCACAAGTGTCCGTGGCTATAGGAATGAAGGGTAGAAAGTACTAGAACTGCCTGCCATGAGAGCCTTAGTGACATAACATGCATAAGCAGTGCTGCTCTCAGGCCCTGAGCACAAAAGTTGGCTCTCCATGCTCCTGCTCTGTAAGTAGTCCTGGAGCCCCTGGGCATAGTCCTTGATGTTCTCACTATGGGCAGTGGTCATTGCCTTCCAGAGAGTGGAACATGATGGAGCAGGAGCCAGGAAGTAAAAGGGCACGTGCCAACATGATGATTGCAGCTGAGAGGCTGGATTGTGGATATGTGGGAGGCATCCTGGGCCACATTAAGACTCTGGAAGCTGTAAGCACCACAATGGCTATTTTCCAGTCACCAGCTCCTGTATCAAATATAATACAAAATAAAAGAGAAATATGAGAGAGTCAACAAAATTCTTAATTTCTGTCATGATAACTTCTTTGATGCTTTCTTGAAACATTGCTTTTCAATTTTTTCCTCCAAAGAAATGTTTTTGGTGTTCTTGTGTTGCTGGTGTCACACAAACAGCCTAGACATCATTCACTCAGATTGGCAAAATAAGGGCACATTTTTATATTTATTTATTTTTTTAAGTTTCTCTTAAACTTGAGTTAATTAATTAATTAAAATGTTTATTTAGTTTTTGGGGGGGAGAGGAAAACAGAGAGGGGGACTGAGGATCTGAAGCAGGCTCCATGCTGACAACAGAGAGCCCGATGCAGGGCTCGAAATTACGTATCATGAGATTATGACCTGAGCAGAAGTCAGACACTTAACTGAGTGAGCCACCTAGGTGCCCCTAAGGGCACTTTCAATTAGGTGGTCCAACATTGGGTCACCCTTTAGGGGGCTTTGAAATAAGTGGAGGTCATAGTTTTGGGTTTTATGAATCTTAATCTGTGTATAAAAAAAAAGAGTGACATTATTCAAAGTCTTAGGCTATTTCCTCAACTAAATGTATTACAGGATAACAAAATAGTTGGTGAGATAAAGTTATTTTTTATAGAAAAATTCAAACTACTACATACAGAAGGAATGCCAGAATTAGAAATCACAATTTTGCCAGCACTAATGGAAGTGGATCTAGGCAATGGTCATCAATGATGAGGAATGAATGGCGGTGAATGAGTCAGGCTGATACAACTTAATCCACTGATACCCTGAACATTACTAATAATGGGACAGCTGACCCTGTGTCTTCTAATGTTATGCAAAAGAGGTACACTACATCACCTATTAAATATTTTTGTCAGCTGACCTGAATTCTGAATTTCATTAAGCCTCTAGATCTAACTAAGAATTTAATAGATACAGAGCATAGAAGGTCATATTAGACAAGCAGGGATGTAATCAGTCAAACCCAGAATATGGGAAATTCTATGCGATAAATGACCCAATTTCTTCAACAAACAAATGGCAGAATGTGCAGAGAAGGGGAAACTGCTACAGGTTAAAATGAGATGCAAGAAATCTATCATATTTGTCTTTTAAATGCAATGTGTGTGGAATGACTGGGTGGCTCAGTCAGTTAGGCATCTAACTCTTGATCTCCCCTCAGGTCTTGATTTCAAGGTTGTGAGTTTAAGCTCCATGTTTTGCTCCATGCTGGGTGTGGAGCCTACTTTTTTTTTTTTCAATGTTTATTTATTTTTGGGACAGAGAGAGACAGAGCATAAACGGGGGAGGGGCAGAGAGAGGGGGAGACACAGAATCGGAAACAGGCTCCAGGCTCTGAGCCATCAGCCCAGAGCCTGACGTGGGGCTCGAACTCACGGACCGCGAGATCGTGACCTGGCTGAAGTCGGACGCTTAACCGACTGCGCCACCCAGGCGCCCCTGGAGCCTACTTTTAAAAAAATAATTTAATGCAATGTGTGGACCTTGTTTGGATCTTAGGCAGACTGACTATAAAAATGTGTTTTTGATGTAATTAGAGAAATTTGAAAAAGACTGTGTATTAAATGCCATTAAGGAATTTTATTAATATATGTAATTAATATATTCATATATAATAATTAATAGCTATAATAATTAATAATCATTAATTAATAACTATTATAAGGTCGCTGTAGGGTTTTTTAAAGGCCTTATCTGGAACAGATACATCCTGAAGCATTTGTAGATGAAATGATATGTCTGGGATTTGCTTGAAATTCTCCAGCCAAAAAAAAAAGACAAACAGGAAGAGAGAGGAAACACTAATGTCATATATCAATCATTCTTGAAATGGGAATGGGTATTTAGGGAGATTCCCTATGTCCTCTCTACTTTTGTGAGGTTTGAAAACTTCTGTAACAAAGCTCGCAGGCTTGCAAGACATATGACATGTGGGTGACATATGCAAAGAAACTTCACTTGGTTCACTTTTCCTCTTTTCAAGGCTCTGCCTCCTTTGGGAAGAAGAAGTCTCAAAGCATGGGATTGAAAAAGCTTCAGTGCTCCGAGTGATGATGAGGTTTCAAAGAACAAGGGCTATTTTGGATGTATTTCTGTGTTGCTGCTTCTCTGCCATGAGCGTGCTAGGGCCGGTAAGTGGCTGACTTCATGAGGTTTGGGGGACTCCAGGCTTTAGAAATTAGCACATTAGGGGTGCCTGGGTGGCTCAGTTGGTTAAGCGCCCGACTTCAGCTCGGGTCATGATCTCATGGTTTGTGAGTTTGAGCCCCGTGTCTGGCTCTGTGCTGACAGCTCAGAGCCAGGAGCCTACTTCGGATTCTGTGTTCCCCTCTCTCTCTGCCCTTCCCCTGCTCACAGTTTGTCTCTGTCTCTCTCCAAAATAAATAAACATAAAAGGGAAAAAAAAAGAAATTGGCAATTTCAAGTCCACACCAGGAGTTGGGGACAGTTTGCCTCTCAACTGCTACTCAGAAGATAAAGAACTTTTGGAGGCAGTAGAGCTAGTAGTTAGGAATGTGAATTCTTTTTGTTTGTTTGTTTTAATGTTTATTTTTGAGAGAGGGAGAGAGTGCACATGCATGCAAGCTGGGGAGGGGCAGAGAGAGAGGGAGACAGAGGATCTGAAGTGGGCTCTGCATTGACAGCAGAGAGCCTGATGTGGGGCTAGAACTCATGAATACCATGAGATCTTGACTTGAGCCAAAGTTTAACCGACTGAGCCACCCAGGCACCCAGGAGTGTGAGTTCTGCAGCCATCGCTTGGGTTCGAACCTTGGCCCTGCCACTTAATTGCTGGGTGACTTTAGGTAATGTGTTTATCTTCTCTGTGTCTTAGTTTCTTCAAGGAACCCCAAGACACTCTTAGTGGTTGACCTCATGGAAACCTCCATGTATAAATTGGATGGCATAACATTACCTGCCTCTCAGGGTGAATTTAAATGAGATAAATATATAAAGCACTTAGAACACAGCCTGACTCAGTATGAGCTAGCTGCTTTGAGAAATGGCTGAGCAGCTCTGGGAATGTAGGTGGCAGGAACTAATGGAGGACCAATGTACCATGGTTGGGATGAACTAGCTTTATTTCCTGTCCTCCAGGTCTTCAGGCCAAGATTCTAAGTGCAGAGAGTAAGTCCCATTGTCCCAGCTGGGGTCACGTGCTCACCAGTTAGCCAGCAGAGCATAGGGCTCTTTGACAATCTGGCCTGGACTGCATGCCATGGGACAGGTGCAAGTCTTTCCAGATGAAAACGGGAGTGCTATTACCAGCTAAGAGGAGAACGGATGTAGGTCAGGAAGGAACAACAGCTGATGACACACAGAGATATATGACTAGGTGACAGTGTGCTGGATATTCTTCATTTGTCCCTCTAGCTCCATCTTCCACCATTGCCCATGCTGCCCTGTGCCCCTAATGCATGGCCTGTATGGATCACATTAATGGGGTCCCCCTGCCCTCTGGCTTCTGGTTGGGTTGGACCAATGGAAGACTACAATAGGAGACTGCGGGGAAGGAGAAAGTGAAGGCAGGATATTTATTTCTCTGACTGCCTCCTTCCCTGACACTGGAGGTTGGGGACCAGACTTCTGGGAGGAGCCCTTTCTGTATGACTTTCTCCTTCTGGATTCCAGTGACCTAACTCTACCCTGTCCCTCCAGGTCTGGAAGGTAACAGTTCCCTGCTGTCACTAGCTTCATGTGTTCTGCCATTCCTTGTTGGATTTCCCAAATTCTGCCCACACCTTCATAAATAGTCACTTCATCAGCTCCTGAGTTACCCCTTTTGGGTGTGTGTTCTGTTTCCTGTCAGACCAAGCTATGAGGTGGCAGAGCCAGGATTCAGATCTGGGTCTGTTCAACTCCTGTCTCCTCCAAGGGGACTGTGAGCTTGAGAGCAAGGTTATGTTTCAGTTAGTTTTGATCATTTTTAAAAGTTTTTATTTTATGGGGCGCCTGGGTGGCGCAGTCGGTTGAGCGTCCGACTTCAGCCAGGTCACGATCTCGCGGTCCGTGAGTTCGAGCCCCGCGTCAGGCTCTGGGCTGATGGCTCGGAGCCTGGAGCCTGTTTCCGAGTCTGTGTCTCCCTCTCTCTCTGCCCCTCCCCCGTTCATGCTCTGTCTCTCTCTGTCCCCAAAATAAATAAACGTTGAAAAAAAAAAAATTAAAAAAAAAAAAGTTTTTATTTTATTTTATTTTTGAGAGAGAGAGAGAGAGAGAGAGAGAGAGAGAGATACCAAGAGAGCACAGCAGGGGAGCAGCAGAGAGAAAGAGGGAGACCCAGAATCTGAAGCAGGCTCTAGGCTCTGAGTTGTCAGCACAGGAGCCCAATGCAGGATTCAAACTCACGAACTGCAAGATCATGGCCTGAACTGAAGTCAGATGCTTAACTGACTGAGCTACCCAGGTGCCACAGTTTGGGTCATTTAATAAGCTCCCAGTCTTGACCTGAGGACCTCACACACAGCCCATGTTTATTATGCCTGAAAGGATGGAGAAGTCTGAATAATTCAAACTCCTGTTTCCTTCTAGATGCTGGTTATACCAAAGATCTTGGAATATTCTGAAAAGCAGTCGGGGAGTATTGCCTATGGAGTAGGCCTCTGCTTTGCCCTCTTTCTCATTGAGTGCATGAAGTCCCTGTGTCTGTGTTCCTGCTGGGTCTTCAACCAGCGCACAGGCATCAGGTTTCGTTCTGCTGTTTTCTCCTTTGCCTTTCAGAAACTAATGCAATTTAAGTCTCTAACACACGTCACCACAGGAGAGGTGAGTGTCTGGGACTGGATACTGGAGACCATGCTTGCCTAGCCTTCCTCCAGACATCCCTGCTCTGGGGGCAGGGAGAGGGAGGAAAAGGAGTTAGGAAATGAGGAATAAAGAGAAAAGAAATAATTCCTAGGATGAGTGTCGATAATCACCAAGAATTACCTCTGGAGACAAGAACAGGTCAACGGTAACCCAGGGGGATGCCACTTCCATTTAGAGGACTTGAAAGAGATTTATTGAACCCATAGTTACTGAGGTCTACTCTGTTCTAGGCCCTGAGGATACAGCAGTGAACAGAAAGACACCAATCCTCAGTTTAAGCACACTGGAAAGTGTATCCCCTCACCCAGCCTGGGGAGGAGGGTAAGGGAGGGACATCCTCAGGGAAACCAAGGGAGGAGCGATTGTAGATTATCTCTCAGCGTGTTAATTCTTGTCTGTGAAAAAGGAGTACTTAGAGCTGCCTGGTTACCAGTTCCCTGCTCTTGCTCTCCTAACAAACAAACAAACAAACAAACAACAGAGATTAGAAAAAGATGCTCCAATTTATGACCCTCAGTCATGGGAGTATTGGAACTTTATATATTAATTTCATGTTCCCTATTTTTCAGTTGCTTACGGTTGCCTCGAGGAGCATGGATTGCTTTTATATTCAAACAGACATTTGATGGGACACCTGGGTGGCTCCGTCAGTTAAGCTTTTGACTCTTGATCTCGGGTCTTGATTTCAGGGTCGTGAGTTCAAACCCACGTTGGGCTCCGCACTGGGTGTGAAGCCCACTTAAAAAAAAAGAAGGAAAACGAACAAACATTTGAATTTTTGGAACAGGCAGTGCTTCTTTGACTTCTTCCCTTTGCCATCTGGCATCAGCAACTGTCCAACCTCACCTACTTTTGTCTCCACTCCTCCATCCCCAGGTTGGTTTCTTTCCTTTGGCCAGGCCTGGCTTAACCTACAGTTCTCAAACACACCAGGCATTTCTACCTCCAGGCAACGTTTTTCACATCACCCCTGCCCTTCTATAATCCCATTCATCCTTCAAAGCCCTATTAAGGTGTCCTCTCCTTAACGACAAAATTGCTAAACCCCACTGTCTACTCCCACCAAGCACAAATCTGGCTGCCCCGTATGAGCCCCCTTCAAAGACATAAACCCTTTCAGATTCACTGCTCTATCCCTCAAAATGCCAATGTTTGAATTACACAGGACAGATGTCCAAAACAATGTCTGCTAAATTGACCACTGCCAGGTGGATCTTTTTCTAAACTCAATAGCAAACATAAGGTATTTGTTATCATTGTTACCATTATTCTTTACCATTTTTTTAGTCTTGGAACCTTAGGCAAGGTTCCATGCAGTCTCTCTGAAGCTGTAGAATAATAATAAGACCCGCCTTACAGGATTGTTGTCTCATAGGATTAAATGAGTTAGTACATACAAAGCATGTAGGAAGGGGACAGTGTTTTAGAAGTGTTAGATTGTATTACTAATTTCTGTTAGGCCTTGAGCATGGGGGCTCCCTGTTGTCCTGCATTTGACTGAAGTTGAAATCCATGGCAGTCCTTCTCCCTACTGATCTTGGGAGACTCATCATAGTAATTGCTAACTTCCACTAAGCCAGACGTTGACCCCAGGGCTTTACCTCATTAGCTCAGTCAGTCCTCTGACAACACTCTTATGTGGTAGTTTCTGTTATTGTTCCCATTGTCACAGAGGTAGAAACTGAGGCAAGGAGGGAGTAGGAAACTTGTGCAAGGTCACGTGATTGGTAAGCAGCAGAGCCTGGCTGCAGGGTCCAGGCTCTGAACCAGGGCACCTACCTGCCTTGCCAAGGAGACCTTCCACATTGAGGCCAGCTCTCTTTCCTTTTCCATGTGCCTCTGTTCCGAGCACCTGCTGTGTGCAAGGCCGATTTCCCCAAACAGCCTCACAGAACATAAGACAAGACAGCCCACTCAGAAGTGGAGATGGATGTAGCTGCTCACCTGAGGAATCCTAGAGTTGTTTCCATAAATTTTACTTTAAAAATAATTTAAAAAACACCTGCATATGTTCTCCTTGGGCACAAAATAGAATAGATGACTCCCTGGGCCCAGTCACTTCCCTTATGCCTGGAGGTGACCACCATTATCAATTTGGCTTGTGTCCTTCTAGACTTTTTAAAGTGCATTTAGGTACACATGCAAGTTACCCATGGAAAACATACTGTATCTTGGGTGTGTGTGTTTTAAGTTTATTTATTTATGTATTTTGAGAGAATGAGAGAGAGTGAGAGAGAGCGTGATTACACAAGCAGGGGAGGGGCAGAGAGAGGGGGAGAATTCCAAGCAGGCTCTGCACCATCAGCACAGAGCCTGATGTGGGACTTGAATTCACAAACCTGAGCCCAGATCAAGAGTTGGATGTTCAACTGACTGAGCCATGTAGGCGCCCCGTGTGTGTGTGTCCTTTTTATATAAAGGATACTATATTTCACACAGGGTTCTGCCACTTGGTTTTACCAATAGAAAATGTATGATACAATTTTTTGGGTGAGTTTTTTTTTAAGTTCATTTATTTATTTTTAGAGAGAGAGAGAGAGAGAGAGAGAGAATGAGTGCATGAGTGGGGGAGGGGCAGAGAGAGAGGGGGAGAGAGTCCCAAGCATGTTCCATATGGTCAGTGAAGAGCCCAAGGCAGGGCTCCAAATCACGAACTGTGAGATCATGACTTGAGCCAAGATCAAGAGTCAGATGCTTAACGGACTGAGGCACCCAGGTGCCCCTTGGGTGAGTTTTTATGTCAGGGGCACTACATTGTTTGTGTTGTTTTGTAGCTTTTCTTCCCTCCTCATTATGTCTTAGCTTTCCATGTTCACACATATAGATCTTACTCATTCTCTTTCAGTGATGCTTACTTAGAATTGTGGCACTTTCTTTTTTCCCCATTTTTATTGAGATACAACTGACACATAACATTGTATTAGTCCAAGGTATACAAGATAATGATTTAATATAGCATTAATATAGCATTTTCAATATGCCAAAATTAAGTGTTTTATATGCACTATCTCATCAGTTGTCACATCAATGCTATGGAGCAGGTTGTATTATTATCCCCATTTTACTGATAGGCAACAAGGCTTAGAGAGACTGGGTAATGTGTCTTTGGCTCCACAGCTAGTAAATGACAGATCTGGGACATAAACTCTGACCAGTTTGCTCCAAGACCCAATATTATCTGATACACCTTGAGTGGATGCTTTAGCTTTTCCCCACCAATGGACATTTAAGGTGTGTCCAGGGTTTTGCTGCTATAAGCACAGCTGTATTGGATATTCTTGCGTGCGTTTCCTCTAGCACATGCAAGTGTTTCTCAACAGAGAAATAAAATAGCCAAGTCATGGGGTTTGTGCAATTATTAACTTTAAAAGATACTGTGAAACTCCTTTCTAAAGTGGCTATACTAGGGGCTATGCTTCTCATACACTTTCATCCTTTTTTAAAGATTCAGCCTGGGGCACATCCTGGGAACTGGAAGGAGGTCAGTTTAAAGTTAAAAGGAAATCACATTTTAAGACATTCAGATTGCTCATTCTGAAAGACATTCATGATTTGGGTCCTTAAATATTTCTTGATTTGGAATGTCAGCTTTTATGTTACAGCTGGACTGGGCAGTATATATTGGGGAGCAGGGAAGTGGACAGAAGATTCTATAGCAAAAAATAAAAAAGAAAGATAAAAAGAATTAGTTCCTGCCTTAAAAAATTCAGCCATTGGAGCGCCTGGGTGGCTCAGTCGGTTGAGGGGCCGACTTCGGCTCAGGTCATGATCTCGTGGTCCCTGAGTTCGAGCCCCGCGTCGGGCTCTGTGCTGACAGCTTGGAGCCTGGGGCCTGTTTCGGATTCTGTGACTCCCTCTCTCTGACCTTCCCCCGTTCATGCTCTGTCTCTCTCTGTCTCAAAAATAAATAAACGTTAAAAAAAAATTCAGCCATTATTATTAGTAGTAATGATTCATAATAATTCATTTATTAGAATGAATAAAATAGGCTAGGAGACTAGAAGCAAATCTCTGGGGAATCTGGATATTAGAAATAGTAGCAATAGTATGGTAAAATATAACTTTTATTGAGTACAGTCTATGTGTGCAGATCCTTTATATTTCATTGACGTTCTCACAACAACCATATGAAGTGGGTATAATTATTCCAGCTTCACAGGTGAAGAGGCTAAGGCTCAGAGTGGTATAGTTACTGGTCCAGGGTTACACAGAAAGCAGGGGAGATTGGTGTTTCTGCCTTTACCACCTTGCCTCTCAAGCCTTGCTGTCACGGGCAGTGTAGCCCCTTGCATGGGCAGTGTGGCACCTGGCATGGTGATACCTATGCTCACGGGCTTGCTGTCTTACAGGCCATCGGTTTCTTCGCCAGCGACGTAAACTACCTGTTTGAAGGGGTGTACTATGGCCCCCTGATCTGTCTCATCTGCTCGTTGCTGATTGCGTGCACTGTCACCTCCTACCTCATTCTTGGACCCACTACACTCTCCGCCACTGTTTTCTACCTCCTGATTTTACTAGTGGAGGTAATGTCTTTCTTTGACATCCATTTGATGTTGGATATCCCCGCAGAACTCCCAGGGCTCTGGAAGCTGGGGTACTCCTGAGGGGAAGTATTGACTCTTACTGACTATTCATTCCATTGTGGTTAAGTTTCAGCTTCAATTTCTGCCTCAAACCATTCTCTGACCACAAGGTTGGCCAAAGAAATAAGAGGTGAATACGACATGCCAAGTCCATCTTGTAGGCTTCTGGGAGGGTTTATCTGCCTCACAGACTTTCCTTAGTAGATATCCTCCATATTAAGCTTTTGTTCCTTCTCTTCTACCTAGAATGTTGTAATGGATTAGCCTGGATAGCATTGAACATTTGTCTGAGCACAGTATAATGGGGGAAGGGAAGCAAATTTGCTGACAGATTCAGGTGAAATAAAATTGGGCAAAACAGGAAGTGACTCGTGTTATGTGTGCTCTGAATTATTGAAATCAATCGTTTTCCTCCCTCAGTGTAGATATTCTGACCAAAAGGTGATTGTAACTGTTGGCAGGTTTAGGGTTTCCAAAGGCAAAGGAGTAATATTTGTTTAGTTAGCCACAGTAATATTTGTTTAGTTAGCTTGGGACACAGGAGAGAAACACCCCTAGGATGTGGGAGGCAGGTGCTCTCAGGCACGATGGAGAGGTTTCCATTGGAAAATCTTCAGCAGGGCCCTGGAATCTGTAGAGTCACAATGGATTCAAACAGTGAAGAATCAAACTCAGGTATTCAATCCACATCTGGATTTTACCTTTGGGCATACTCCTGGTTGCCATACTTCTGCTGGGCTGAACTCTCCTGCCCTTTTCGAAAGAAGCTCTTGCTGCATTCTGACTGCAGGTGTTCCTGAACAGAAAGATTGTCAAGATACACAATCACACATCTGAGGTCAGTGACCAGCGCATCTGTGTGATCAGTGAAGTTCTCACCTGCATCAAGCTGATTAAAATGTATGCATGGGAGAAACCATTTGAAAAAATAATTAAAGGTACAGAAAATCTGGTTTTCTGTTCTGAGCCTTGGGATGTCATGGTGGGCCAAGCGTCTCACCTTTTGGGGAGTTCTTTCATGCTCTGGGGGCTGTTCAAAGCTCCAGAGAATGTTGTTATGGTTAATTCCAGTGCATTGGGTTTTTAATCTCTCAGACCTCAGAAGGAAGGAAAGGAAACTATTGGAGAAGTCTGGGGTCATCCAGAGCCTGACCACTGCAGCCTTGTATGTAGCCCCTACAGCGGCCACAACAGTGATGTTCCTCATCCACACGTGTTTACAAAGGAAACTCACAATTTCACTAGTAAGTGCTTGGGATGCTTTGTTTTCCTCCTATACTGATGGGGAATTTTCTTGGGTGTTGTTTCATAGACCATGCCCTTCAAAGATCTGAAGGTTTTGCAAATAGATAATTGGTGTTGATTCTGACTTTCTAGACTTTTAGGATGCTCAAACTTTCTTCCATCTCAACCTGTCTGAGAAACTGACATACCCTCGGTAGCAACTGTGGGAGTGAGGGATGATAAAGTCATCCGGGGATGCAAGGGAGGTGGAAGGTGCTGTAAAAGCCCCAATGATTCTGCTTACATACCTTGAGAATCCTAAATTAAGGAGTTTCTTCAAATCCAAAATGGAGCCCTGAAAATATGCTTTAAAAGGAAAGCTAGAGCTTATTCTGCCTTGTCTTTGTGGTCTGACCCTGGCCCAGAAAAGTAGCAGTTGCCTTTTAGGGGTGGAATCCCAGTTCTCTGAGGAGAAAAGTCAGGGTGCTGCTTTGGGAGAGTGGGAATCCAGATGGGGCTTGGGGCAGGACACTGCATCCAAAACAAGATAGGGAGCATTTGAGAGTCTGCAGCCAAGGACTTATTTGTGCTCCAGACAGCAGGCACCCCTACTTGGCCCAGGCACACCAGAGAAGCACCCCTGAAGGTCTGAGTGTGGATGCAGGGGCTTTTATAAGGAAAACTCTCAGCAGGAGTTTAGGGCCACACTGCACTCACACAGTGAAGGATGAAGAAAGTAGAGGTGGGGCACAGATTGGAAGGTCCCCAAGGTACTAGGGGTCACATTCTGGGATCCTGAGAGCTGAAGATGGTCTGCTGTAGTCAGGAAAAGTCTCCAGGACAGAGTGAGACATGGATTAGGTTTGAAGTGCAGGGAGATTTTGAATATTGGAAAAGAATACAATATCTAAGGCAAGGAAGAATAAATATGATTGTAATAGCAATAATAGTATCAAACCTCATTGACAGTAGACAAACTCACATATACTTTCTTAGTGTTTCCTCAACTTTGTTCCTGTGCTCACTTCATGATTTTGGTACTATGCCAATCAGAACACTGAGCTTGTTGGGGGAGGGGAAGTTTGCAGAATCACCCAGTACCAAGCTACACAGGAGCCAGGCCTACAGACATGGAGATCTTAAGATGAGTGCTCCTTCTTCACTTTTTCCATTATCCCCAAAATACTGGCTTGGCCCCTGCCAAGTGAAGGATCTGCCTGTCAGAAGCTGTAGGGTCTGGCTCTGTGGTTTCTGGCTCAGGGATGAGGCTTTAGGGAGCAGAGAGAGCAGAACAGGGATGTGACGCTCACCGCCTACTCCCCTCTTCATACAGGCCTTCACAGTGATAGCCACCATGAATCCCATGCGGCTCTCAGTGTTCTTTTTGCCCTTTGCAATAAAAGGTCTCGCAAATTCCAAGTCTGCAGCAGAGAGATTCAAGGTGAGTTGTCAGAGGACTGTTTGCACGGCTCTCTGCTTGGGTGCTCATTTGCCTTCAGTCACCACGATGTTCCTCCTGAGCATGACCCGAAGCCAAGGCAGAGTCCAGTGTCAGTGGAGAGGGATTGGCTAACTCAGTGACCTCCCGTACGGAGGCTGGTGTGGGGGCTGGGGAGACTGATGAATCAGGCTCTGGGGAGATCTTAGGATAGTATACACAAACCAGGTCTCAGACAGGAGGTCTGCAGACCCTGTCCAGTTTTGTATAGGGTTACCCTGATGGTTTTGGTTAAAAAAAAAATCATATTTGTTGTTTGCATTTAAAAACTGGAAATTTTATGTAAAAATCGATTTCTGGATTCCCCTGAACAATCAGAAGATCTGGGAACACCAGACCCACATTCTCCTGTGGCCACAAATGGCTGGAGCTGAAGTGATAGCTGCCCTACTGAGATGAGGCCCTCAGATACAGTTTGCCACAGCCTCCACTGTGTCCTATTGTATCTCCAACACTGGGGCTGTTTTTCCTACTATTTATCATCTTAGCAATGGTCTATGTGACTTCTTTACATAGTTGGTCTTGCACCTACAGCATCTGAGTTTTAAAAACCCTAATCCAAACTAATTTTAAAAAGCTTTTTTGTAGTCATCTCATTTATTTTATTTTATTTTTAATTTTGAGAGAGGGAGGGAGAGACAGGGAGAGAGAGAATCCCAAGCAGGCTCCACACTGTCAGCACAGAGCCCCACATGGGGCCCAAACCCATGAACCACGAAATCATGACCTGAGCTGAAATCAAGAGTCTGACGCTCAGCTGGTTGAACCACCCAGGCACCCCTAGTCATCTCACTTAAATGCATGTAGTTCCCAGCCTATATCATTGACTCACACATTTATTCATTTATTCAAAAAAGTAGTTATTGAACCCCTACTACCTGCCAAGTACTAAGACTAAGAATACTATGGTTAGCATGACCGACAGGGTCCCTGCTCTCAGGGAGTTACAATCTGGTATTAAAACAAGACAACTAGCACGTGAATTAATGGTCAAAGGAGATAACATCAGAAGAGCTATGATGCCAGTAAAACAGTGTGATGTTCTAGAGAGTACGTGAGGGAGGGCTGGGGCAACTTTGGGTGGGCTGGGCCCCGGAAGGCCCCTCTGCTAAGGTGACTTTTGCTCTGAGTAATGATGACTCAGCTTCAGGAACAGCAAGTACAAAAGCCCTGAGGTTGGAATGAACTTGGCTTGTCTGAGTAAGGACAAGACAGTCCTTTAATGCCCCAGGAGCTCCACCCCCACCCCAACACCCTGACTTCTCTGCTGCTGATCAGGGCCCCCTGCTGCCTTCTCCCTACTGGCATGCTAGGCTCTCCCATCCTCCTCTCTATGCCCATTTTCACTTGTAGGGTGGGCAGAAATGAAGAAGCTACAGTCTGGACTCTGAAGGGTGGGCAGGAATGTTTGAGGAAAGAATGCCAGGAGAGACAGCTTGGAGGTCAGAGTTTTTGGCCAAGGATGGGTGTAGTTATGGTGGGAGAAGGGTGCAGAAAGGGTGAGGGTCAGGGCAAAGCTCTTGAACCCTGGGCTGCCCCTCCTGGAGACATTTAGGGGCTGGAGTTGCATAAGGCTGCCCCTTGGATGGGCACTAGCTCTCCAGGTCCCCTCACTCATCAGGGCGTCTTCAATTCCTTCTTCAGTCACTGAAGTTTTCTATCTGGCCATGTAGGCATTTGACTTTGAGACCCCCAAGCTGGAAGGGGGAGGAATGATCCCTTCCTCTTCCTGTGTGCCCCCTGGTGCTATAACCCACCTCCCAGCCTGCTATGCCCTTTGGCTTTTGAAATACGGGGTGCCAGCTTTCCAGGGCAGGGAGAAGACAGCGGTGAGCCCTCAGGGAGGACCCCTCCTTGCAGGTGGACACAGGTAGGAGGTGAGCCAGCTGCTGCAGCTGTGGAGACCTGTATCCTGAGGCTCTAGAGAGGGTGCCCCAGTGGGCACTGTGGTAGGGGTCTCCAGACCATTTTTTGTCTGTGCTGTTTGTTAAAAACAAACAAACAAACAAACAAACAAAAAACAAAACAAAACAACAACAACCAAAAACTGAGAACTGAAAAGCACTGAATGGCATAAACAAAATTAGAGACTGAATATACTTAGAACATTTGGGGGTAAGAGGATCCCATGTGTCTGTTCGCATTTGTTCATATCTAGATGTGTTGTTGTCATATTGACTCATTAAGCCAGTATATCACTCAAAATTTATTTAACAAAATTACAATATATGTAATAACAATTTTTTTTGTAAGCAAGGGAATGAAAACCACAAAATTTGGGACAGTGGTTATCCAGTGGGGAAGGCATAGAGGGTTTGTCCACACCAAGCAGGGGAATAAGATGAAGAAGAACCCCACGGATAGGTAAAAGTTATGGATTTGGGGTTCAGTGGTGGACTTATGAATATTCATTAAGTTATTAAAAATACCTAAACAAGTAAGTGCCCAGCTGACTAACAAAGAGGTGCATGCAATTCCCAATGATGACTGTATGTCTTAACCCACATGTTATAATTAATCCAATTCAATATACTTAAGGTTCAATTATAAAAAGAGACCACCTTTTTTTCTTGTGAAAATAGCTTTTTGTTTGTCTTTGTAAAATACTCATTGTAAAAGATTCAGACAATGCAAAAGTTGCAGAGAATAAAAACCGCTCAATCTCCACTACCTAGAGATAAAACCATTGTCCAAAATGTCAAGAAATCTCTTTCTCGATCTCTTTCTAAGCAAATATCCAGGGAGAGATGTGTGAATATAATTTGACTGCAATAAGATTATACTTCCCACCCACCTCTTTTAATGCTAGAATTCATGTAGTTCGACTCATATTTCACAGTCAGGGAGCTGGAGACACAGGGAGAAGTGACCTGCTCATGGCCACACTTTGAAATGGATGGCCCTGAACAGTTTCCCACAGTGTGCTATGTGGGCAGACCTTCTTACTTTTAATAGTTATAAATGAAATTTAATTAGAAAAATGGCACATCTATATGATGATTGAGCAGCTGTTCTCACCCGTCCAAAATGAAACAGAAAAGAACTAAGAGTGCTGGCAGTTTGCAGGTATGAAAGAGTGGCCCAGTGGTCTGAAATTTGGAAAACCCTGATCTAGAACTCTCACAGGTAGGGCCCAGCTTCCTCTTAACTGGTGGTGGTTCTTTAAACTTTTACCGTTTACTAGAAGTTTATAAACCAGACCAACAGGCAGGCCGGCAAAATGGGCACACATTCCTATTAGACTAAAGAACTGAATTCATCCTTCCTTTTTTCTTTTGTCTCTACAGAAATTTTTCCTCCTGGAGAGCCCTGTTTTATATGTCCAGCCATTGAAAGACCCCAGCAATGCACTGGTTTTGGAGGAGGCCACCTTGTCATGGCGAGACGCCTGCCCTGGGATTGTCAATGGAGCCTTGGAGCCGGAGAAGAAGGGGCACATTCCCGAGGGGGTGACCAGGGCTCAGCCACCTCTAGGAGCCCTCAGGCTAGAGGACACAAAGGGCAGCCTAGCCCCAGAGTTGCACAAGTTAAACCTCGTGGTGTCAAAGGTAGCCTTATCGAGGCCACACAGGCAGGCCGGCTGCCAGACTTTTGGGGCCTAAGGCCCGAGCTTCCTGCCACCATTTCCTTGGCTAAAAACTGCCCTCTCTAAATCCCTCTTTTAAATACCAATTATTCCTGGAGGGCAAGCACAGGAAGTCTTTCATGCTTTAGTGGGAACCAATTGATCATCTACAATTTGTTTTCTGATAACAAGATCCAGAATACTATGCTATATGCTGGGAGAGAAGGGGAAAGAGACCAACATTTATTAAGTTGCTAGCATGTGCTGGGAACTACCCTACACGTTTCCATTTGGTTGCTCTGTGAACTCACCTTATCTGGTTTCTTCTCTGACTAACATTTGCAAGGGCTAGCTTCCCTTCTTGTCCAAATTTCGCCTCTGTACCTTCCTCCTGGAAGTGAAACTAGGTGAGGCCCCACCCACATCTCTGACCTCTTCTCCCACTCATTCCTTCCACACCAGCTACACTAGCCCTCTCATAGCACTTTGGCAGCAGGCCTTGTTCCTGTCTCACGACCTTTGCCCCTGATGTTCCATGGTTTGGAACCACCAGATCTTCCTGTGTCTGGCTCTTTCTTGTCATTCAGGTCTCAGCTGCAATGACAACTGCTTTAAGAAGCCTTTGCTGGCCAACCCATCTATAATTTGCTTCGGTCACAGCAGCAAATTTCATTTTACTTAAATCACTTATCTTCATCTGATATTATTTGTTTGTTTGTTTGCTTATTTATTTCATGGTTTATCTCCCCCTCCCCCATCAGAATATGGAATGAGAGTTCTTTTATTCATTACTTGGTACCTAGGAGAAACTTAAATACCATTTAATGGATGAATGAATGAATAAGTGTATGTATGCATGAATTCTGTGAGGCTGACTTCTCTGTGCCCATTTTATACATGAAGAAACTGAGGCACAGAGTGGATAAATGACTTGCCCAAGATAATAGAGCAGAAAGGTACAGACCTGGAATTTGGGTTTGTTGCCTGATAGGACCACCTATCCATGAATTCCTGTCACTTGCACGTGACTTCCTTCCTTTGAGATTGTGACATCCTACCCTCTTGAGCTTTGCTAGTCTGAGAGGCCTTGGGGTGGATGTGGTTATTTTGTTTTCTATTTGTCATTTTGTGTTCAAACAACAGACCCACCCTGGGTGAGTAGGAGGGTTGTGCTGTCCCAATGTTCCTCCTTGGCTTTGCAGGGGACCTTGTTGGGGGTCTGTGGCAACACTGGAAGTGGCAAGAGCAGCCTTTTGTCAGCCATCCTGGGGGAGGTAAGTGACTTGTGACTGCATGCATGCCCATCCACAGGCAGCCCAGGGACTCCCAAGCTTGAGTTCCCCCAGTCCACCTCACCATCACTTTCTTGCTTGATGGGATCTGAGCCAATGCAATTTTTATAGATTGAGAGCAGTTGGGCATGCACTGAGGGGGAGGTGTGTTATAAATGTGCCTCCTTCTCACCCTCCAGGAGTGCTGCCTCTTAGCTCACCCAGAGATCTGCCCTCACCAGTTCTCTGTGCTTTCCCCACCCTGTTTGTAATCAGTCAGCTCTCAGGGTGATGATACAGGGTGTCCCAAAATTTAATATGATAATAAAAATCATCTCATGAAGCCAAACTCAGAGTGAGACAGGTGTCCTTTGTGAGAGGACATCAGGAGAGCAATGTGGAAGGAGGGAGGAGGAGGAAGAAGGAAGGAGGGGCAGGGGAGAGGAGGCCCTCCTGCATGGGATGGGACAGGACAGTCTTACACTTACACTCCAGCAGTGGAATTTACATGCCTGATGGGTGCCCCTGCCCCTGAGATCCAAACCCTCCAAGTCCAGTCTGCAGATATTCTTGAGGTCTGCTTAGTCTGCAGCCAGGCAGACATGTGCCTCAGCCTACCCTTCTTCCAGTTTCCAAAAAGCCCTAACCTGTTGGTTTAAAACAATTGAGATCACATTGCACACTTTTCACTGAACAACACTTTAAAACAGCCATGGCATCTGGTATGAATTTATGGCCATCTCCCCAAGGGGGTTCTCTTCAGTACTTCCCCGCTCAGCCCCAGCCGCACCCAGCCCTGAGCTGCTCTCTCTCTCCCCTCCTTTCTTTGCCCTCCTTCCAGGTTGTTGGGAGGACTCGCAGTTTCTTTCTTTATCTAGCTCTTCCCTCAGCTTTCCCCAAATGTTATAGTCAACATCAACACTTCCTTGGAATGTGGTCATATTGTCCATGGAACTCTCTCCCGACAGCTCATCTGTTCATACTCCACATGTGATGGCCTTGCCCCAACTTCTTGGAAATGGGGAAGATAAGATTCTACTTAAATAAAAAATAGTAAAAATAGTTTGAATAGTACTTTCATGCCAGGCCCTGTGCTAAGAGCTTCCTATTTTCTCCTTTAACTTGGAAATAACCTCATGAGGAAGGCAGCCATTATGGCCAGTTTATAGGTGAGCAGATGAGGTTCAGAGAGGTGACTGGTCCAAGTCACACCACAGGTGAGGGAGGAGCCTGGGTTGAAACCCAGGTCCACTTGATGTCAGAGCTTCGCTTTTCACAATGGCAACGTTTCCTTGCAGCCTCCATCCAAGGCCACCTTTCTGTGTGTCCAGTGGTTTGTCAGTTTCCTCTTGAAATGAACGAGTCACTTCCCATCTAATAAAGGGAGACAAAAAGATGTCATTTTAAAGTTTTGTTCTAATTAATTAAAGCCTGGCTCCAAATCAGAAGTAGGAAGCACAGGATCATAAAGAGAAAGGAACACAGGATGATGATATCTTATGCTGGGGTGGTGGGGATGGGGGTTACAGTCTTTTTTTTTTTTAAGTTTATTTATTTATTTTGAGAGAGAAAATGCATGCACAAGTGGTGGAGGAGCAGAGAGAGAGAGGGAGCGAGTGAATCCTAAGCAGGCTCCATGCTGCCAGCACAAGCCTGACTCAGGTCTTGATCCCACGAACTGTGAGATCATGACTTGAGCTGAGATCAAGAGTCAGACATTTAACTGACTGAGCCACCCAGACACCCCTCCCCCCAGCTCTTTTTTTAAAAGGGCTTTTAAATTTACCAAACAGAAAAGCAGAAAGACACTAAACACCCATATACCTACCATCTAGATTCAACAGTTGATAGCATTTGCATTTTTGCCACATTTATGTAGAAACACATTTTGTGGAACTATTTTAAATTACAGAGATTGTGAGACTTTTCCCACTTAATACTTCATCGTGATGTCCCCCCAAAAAGGACTTTGTCCCATCTACACGGGATTACATTATCACATCTAATGACATCAGAAATAATTCTGTTGATATCCAGGGATGGTCAGAGATGACCTAGAACATTCCATCTCACCATGAAGACCATGGAAGCACCACTTGCTAGAGAATGGGACTGGAGAAATAAGAGAAAGAAAAAGTATGGGGTGGCTTCAAGGCAGACCTTGGATTTAGTCACAGAAGGAACTGGCCTGGTTTAGCTCTGGCTCCTGTCCCACATCCCCAGGACCTTCCCTCAGACTCACTGGTGGGCCTGGCAGGACCATGTTAAAACTCCCATTTACATTGGAGAGCCCCGAGGGTCCCAGGGGGTGGTGGGTCACTGGACACTGTGGCTGCTGAGCCAGACAGGGTCCTCCCCTGTTCCACCCGGTCCTGAGGCTGACTCCCTTTGCTGCAGATGCACTTGCTGGAGGGCTCAGTAGGGGTGCATGGAAGCCTGGCTTATGTCCCCCAGCAGGCCTGGATCATCAGGGCTAGCGTCAGGGAGAACATCCTCATGGGAGGCCAGTACGACAAGGCCCGGTAAGCTTCTGGGAGGGCCCCGGAGGGACACAGGTGCGTGGGGCTGGTTGGGGGAGGGATCCCCAGCCGTGAATAGTAATTTGACAACTGCCAACACCTGCTATGTGCTCACTTCTATGCGTCAACATATTTCCTCCTCGCTGTGAAAGAAAGATTATTATCATATCATTTTCTAGATGAGTCAGTTGAGGCCTCAAGAGGTGAAATGATTTGCCTAAAATCACAGACTGTGGAGTATATGATAGAATCAGGATCTGAACCCAGTTGCTATCAGAAATTCCATGCTTACCTGTTATATTATAGGAGTCAAAATAACCCTCTCCCTCCAACAACGGTACTTTAAAACTTCATTTGTATCAATGAATTCCCCACCTCTAAGTCAAAAGGTAAAGCAAATAGGGTGATGAGGTTGTGGGATGTAGAAGAAACCAGTACTGGTGTGCCACCACCACCATCCTTGCCCTTTGTGGCCTCTATCTCCCGGTCTGGGGTTTACCTGCTTCAGACATGCACTTGGAAGTTAGGAGTGAAGTCTATTCACCAAAACAGCCCTCAATGCTATAGCTGTGCTTCCAACTCTGGTGGACCCTGGCCTCCTTTGACCATTTGCTTGATTTTATAATCTGCCCCCAGTAGCATTGTTGAGGGGGATGGATGTACAGGTGTACGAACTGGTCACCTCCAGCTGGCTGTCCTGTGGGCTCCTCAGTGTCAAGTCCAACACCAGCTCATGAGCACCCTGCTTGCCCAACCCCCATCCTGCCTGCTTCTCTTCCCAAGTTGTCCAATTTGGTTTAATGACATCAGTGAACTGTGTACCCCAGCAAGACTGATGCCTCGTCTTTTGATGCTGCACATCTAATTTGTCACTCACATTGGACAATTCTGTCTCCTATATATCTCTTGTATTTGTCTCTTCTTCTTCATCTCACTGCCAGTTCTTGCCTGCTATCTCTTGCTTGGACTGTTCCCACTGCCCCTGCCCTTGGCTCCTTGTCTCCAGTCTTCTGCTCTTTCCACCTTGTGTCCTGCCTGCAGGGCAGCCATCCCCAAACACAACTCTCATCTTGTCATTGCTCTGCTTTCAGACTGATATAGCTCACAGGGCAGTTTTTTTTTTAAATATATGAAATTTATTGTCAAATTGGTTTCCATAAAACACCCAGTGCTCATCCTAAAAGATGCCCTCTTCAATACCCATCACCCCCCCTCCCCCCCTCCCCCCCTCACAGGGCAGTTTTCAAGTATCTGGTCCAAAAGAAATGCACCAATTCTTAGACTCAGCACTGCTAGGTGTTTAATGTATAGGTAGTATCACCCATGAACACAAAGGCCCATATACCAGAATGCTCATATTACACATTGTTAATAGTACCAAAAGACTATAAAGAACCCCAATGTCCATCACAGGGACAGTGGTTAAATAATTTATGGTGCAGCCATATAATGAAATATTATGGTGCCATTAAAACAACACAAACCTATATATGCTGCACACAAACATATTTGACCACATTATTTCTGAATGAATATGTAAAAAACTATAATAGTGGCTGTTTCTGAGGTAAGCAACTGAGAGTCAAAGATGGGAGAGGCTTGCTTTTCATGATATCTTTTGTTGTTGATGTTGTTCTGTTCAAATATTTACTAAATGCACATATCAGATTAAAAGAAATGAAGGGAGGAAGGAAATGCAAAAAGCCTCCCATGCTTTACTGTTAAATGCTGGATCAAGTCCAAATTTCTTAACATGGAGTGAGAGACCTTTCCCTTCCTGTCTTGGAAAGGCTGCAGGGCCTGTGGCTGGGCCACCTGTCCCTTCAGTTCTCTGTCCTTTGCAGGTACCTCCAGGTGCTCCATTGCTGCTCCCTGAACCGGGACCTGGAAATTCTGCCCTTTGGAGACATGACAGAGGTGAGTGGGAGGTGAGCACCCCCTGCCTCTACTGTGATGGTGCCTTTGTAGTGGTTTTTCTGGGGTCCTCATGCTGCCTCCCTGGGTATGTAGAGGAGGGATTCCAGCCCTTCCTTCCCAAAGCAGCTCACGGCCCTGTAGCTGCTGCCTCAAAGCCTTCCCCACCCAGGGAGGGAATTGGGGCTCATCTTATAGTGAGAGCTGGCAACAAGTCTACCTTACCCCACAAGGATGGGGAGCTGACCTCAAACTCCACCTTTGGAGCAAGAGCAGTGGAAACTCTGTGAAACTGAGAAACCTCCCATCCATTCCTCTTTCCTTTCCCTCTGCTCCCTCCCTCTCTGCCCCCTCTGGCCAGCTCTTCCTTTGCCAGTGGGAATAACAGCCATGGCTTCCCAATGGCGATATGATTCACATTTTCGTGATAATTGACCGTCTTTCACATCTGTAGCCACTTTTAATCTGCATAAAACCTTTATAAGATAAAAGGACTATTATTGTCTTGATTTTATGATATATTAATAGCTCAGTCTGCTGATCACCAGATGCAAAATTGTAGCAACCTGAATGCATTGTCTTAAGTGAACCTCAGGTAACTCTAGGAGGTCAGTGCTTTTATTATCCTTCTTTTAGAGATGGATACCCTTTACCCTGTAAGCCCTTGAGAGCATAGAGCTCAGTTGTCTTATTCAGGGCTATCTCTTCAGTAGAAAGAACAAGTTCTGGTTTGTAGAATGGCATCAATAAGAGTATGGACCTGGTCAAGCTTGAGGTCTAGATGAGCTGATATGTACGAAATGCCGTGAATAGTGCCCAGCTAGAGCAGGCGTTGGTTTATCATCACAGCACAGTAGGCACTTAGTAAGCATTTGTTGAGTGATGACTCAATGCAAAACTAAGCCTTTGACTGGGTGAAGCAGCCTGTCCCAGGGCACACAGTGGTGAACTAGAGGCAGAGCAGTGACAGGAGGTTGCCCTGCTGCTCTTTAAACTCTGCTTCTTTTCTACAGAGACCATAAGAGTTCATGGTAGAGCAGGGATGGGGACTTAGGCCCTGGCACCCTTGTCTGCAGAGACTGGCCAGCCAGCAGGTGCTGGCATGCTAGTCTGCAAGGGGACCCAAAATATGCTGTCCAGTAACTCTGGTTGCCTGTTACTGTTAGTAACTCCTGACATAAGGTGTATAAGGTACTCCTTCTCTTGACAGCAACAACAGAGCCCCCTTCTAGCCATTGCAGCTCTGTCCTGTTGAGTAGCTGTACACCATGCAAACAGTCTTAGACAGAGAGGGCTGATGATGCTGCAAGTCGACAGTCGCTGTCAACAGAAATTTAAAACCCAAATAAGACATAAGGAGGTGCTCTTCCTTAGGAATAATTTGTTTTATTAAATAGAGTTTTAAAATGCCACCTTAGAAGTTGACAGGTTTAGAAACATTGTATCTAATTATGAGTTATAAAATTTTAATTAGCTGAAAAATCAGTTTCTTCATTCCCTATTAAGCAAATTTTGAAAAATATTTAAAAAAATACCAGGGGTGCCAAATCACTAGGTGTCCAGGAGCATGCACCGAAGAGGTTCATTGTGTCATATGTGCCTACCTGGCTAACTTTGAGCATACCTGGCTGGGCTTGTTCTCTGGACACAGTGCCTTTGGCTGTCTATTTGCAGATTGGGGAGCGGGGCCTCAACCTCTCTGGGGGGCAGAAGCAGAGGATCAGCCTGGCCCGCGCTGTCTACTCTGACCACGAGCTCTATCTGCTGGACGACCCTCTATCTGCTGTGGACACACACGTGGGGAAGCACATCTTTGAGGAGTGCATTAAAAAGATGCTTAGGGGGAAGACTGTCATTCTGGTGACCCACCAGCTGCAGGTGATCACCCTTTCAGGGCTCTGGCCATGATTGATGACTAATGTAGATCTGCACATTTTCTTTCTTTCTCTCTCTCTTTCTTTCTTTCTCTCTCTCTCTTTCTCTCTCTCTCTCTTTCTTTCTTTCTTTCTTTCGAGAGCCAGGAAGCAAGCAGGGGAGGGGCAGAGAGAGGGGGAGACAAAGGATCCAAAGTGAGCTCTGTGCTGACACCAGAGAGCCTGATGGGGGGGGGGGGGCTTGAACTCACCAATCATGAGATCATGACCTGAGTTGAAGTCAGACACTTAACCAACTGAGCCACCCAGGTGCCCGATGCTCACGTTTCTGCCATTGATTCAGTAACAACCTCACAGCAGCTACCTCTTCCTCTCAGACTAGACCTCAAAACTTGAGGAGCATTGTAAAAAACTTGGATGTCTTCTGCTTTCCCCATGGAGAGGGTAGGCTGGTAAATGGTTTCTGTGGCTGGTAAAAATTGAAACCAAATTTTAAGTTTTCCTTCAGATTTGATGGATTGACTTCTGCTTTTGAAGTTACAAAGAAATCTTTCAGAGAAGAATTCCCCAAGTCTCATGTTCTTGGATGAAGTACAGTGACCATGCTAGGTGCTGCCTCTCATAATGCCTTTGCCCTAGATATTCCCATACTTGGTTCTGGCCTCAAGGCATTATTATTATTTCTCCCTCTACTTCTATTTTGGCCTATTTTTTTTTTTTGGTACAAAATATTTAAGACATAAGAAGAGTTTATTAAATAGTCTAATGAAAACCCATGTTTCTACCACCCAGAAGACACAATTGAACATAGATCCCCTCTCTGATTGCATTCTGTCTCCTGCCTCTTGTTCTCCTCACTTTCCTGTTTGTCATTCCTGTGCAGGCCTCCACACTCTTACAACACATGTAAGCACCTCTAGACATGGTAAAGTGCCCTTTTGAATATTTTAAAGCTTTATATAATTGATATTTTACTTCCTGCGTCCTTTGGTAATTTGCATGTTTTACCCAATATTGTATTTTTGAGATGTCCCATGTTGATACATGCAGCTTTTTAAAATTCTCACTGGTGTAGCAGTCCAATATCTGCGTACAGCAGAATTTATTTCTCTGGGATCGACATCTAGGTTGTTTCTCATTTTTCATTTTTACAAAAAAAAATGCTTTGGGGTACGTCATTTCATATGTGTCTTTATGTATGTTTGAGAGTTTATTGGGATTAGAGTTTTAGGCATCCAATTGTTGGGTCATAATGCTTAAATATTTAATTTTACTAGATATTATCATGTTGTCTTCCACAGTATTTGGACTAATTTACAACCCCCTACCTTGTACGAGACTCCCTATACCTGCAGTCATCACCAATGCTTGCACTTAGGCAATGTTTTAAGATTTTTGCCAACCTGAGGGGATAAAATAATATTTTATTATGATTTAAATTTATATTTTCCTTATGAGTGGTGAAGTAGGATATCTTTTTGTATGCTTACCGAAGGCTCTATTTCTTCTGACTCTTCAGTATTTAGCATTTTGTGACCAGATCATTTTGCTAGAAGATGGGAAAATCTGTGAAAAAGGAATTCATAGTGAATTAATACAGAAAAAGGGACGATACGCCCAACTCATCCAGAACATGCAGGGAGAAGCCACACAGGTGATTTCCAACCCGCCCTACACTCACTGCCCATGTAGAGGAGCACCTCCTGCCCCCTGCATTCATGACATGTGCTTTCTTCCCAGGACCCACTGCAGGACACAGCAAAGACAGCAGAAGACTCTCAGGTGCAAGGGCAAGCCCAGACCACCTTCCAGGAAGAGTCTGTCCATGAAAATGCTGGTAATGGTGCTGGGCAACAGGGCAAGAACACCTGTGCATCTGCCTGGGTCCTCTAGAGGACCTAGCATTTCCTCCTGGACCCCAGACAGGGCCATGTCTTTCACTGGCCAGGATCCTAGACCACGTGATCCAAGTAGTTGAGGGTGGTGGGGTTCGGACTGTGCTGGTCAGGAGGCCTGAAGATCTAGGAAGTAAGTGTTGTGGGGGGCAGAGTTGAGAGTGTGCAGAGGCAGACACAGAGTGTGGGTAGCTTTGGCCTGGAGTGGCATAAATTTAACTGTAAGGCATTTAAACCTTCAATCATTACATATTTGTTCAAAGCAAATGTTGAAAACAAAGGTATTAGAAATCAGAAATGAGGGACACCTAGGTGGCTCAGTCAGTTAAGTGTCCAGCTCTTGATTTCGGCTCAGGTCAATGATCTCATGTTGGTGAGTTCAAGCTCCGTGTCAGGCTCCATGATGATAGTGCGGAGCCTGCTTGGAATTCTCTCTCTCCCCTCTCTCTCTGCCCATTCATTGCCTGTGCATGCTCTCAGAGTAAATAAACTTAAAAAAAAAACAGATATGAATTGGGCCCAGTCTTGGATATCCAGAAGCTCACAGTCTAGCTCTTATCTGAAACAGGGCAGCAGGGCAGAAAGACCTTCATTTTTAAAGTAAGACAGTTCTCAATTTGAATTCCAACTCTGCTGCTTACAAAGCTGGGTGACCTTGGCAAAGCAACATAACCTCTCTGAACCCTCATTTGCAAAATTGAAGGTAACTAGTGCTTACTTTGTAGTGTTGTAGTGGAGATAAAATGAGGTCATGTGTAGGGAAGCCCCAGGATAATGCTTGGCCTATTAGAGGCTCTTGTCACCAAAATCATCTTTAGCAATGAAGCAGCCCGATTTGGGCAGAAGAATAATTGGAAGATCACAAAATGAAAAGTTGAAGAATCACTCTTCAGCAATTTTGAGCCATAAGTGGCAGGAACAGGTGCAGAATCTTTTTGAAGAAAATCTACTCTAAATATTTTCCATAATAGTGTGATTTCCCTCAAAATTCAAATTCCAGGAAGAGAACCCTTTCCCCAGGGGAAATTAGGGCATTATTAGAAGGGAGAGCCTTAGGCAGAAATGACAGATACCCCCACAGTGCTGCTTCCTTTTGTTGCTACTGTCATCAGTAGCATCTACTGGGACTTCAGGAACTCATCTCTCTGCCCTGCTCTAGGACAAGAGTCTAGACAGCTGTTTGTTTTTTTTTTTTTTTTTTTTTTTTTTTTAAGACTTCTCAGAAGAATATTCCTGCACAGCATCTTAGCAACCATCTATAGGCTTGCCAGTTGTCAGACGAGGAAACAGAGAAGTTAAATGATTTGCCTAAGCTTGCAAAGTATTGCAATGACCATTCTGGAACCCAGTTTTCTGGTTCCATATCATTGCTTTCTTCATTCTCTCCTGCTGCCTCTCCCAACCCATCAAGATCTTGGGAATCCCTGGACCCCAAGGATTATTGAATGGCTGGGGTTGAAACCCCTTTGCAGGCTGTGGAATTCAGGTCAAAGTTACCTTTGGCAGAGTTTTCCAAGGAAAACATGCTGGTTAGAATCAGACTTGGATGGGGCACTGCAGTTGGAAGATGAGGTCTCTGGAAAAGGGTGGAAGTCAGGGGTGGAAGGCTTCATAAAAAGTCTTCTTGACCTTGGAAGGCCATGCAAGTGATTGAAAGACACATCATTTCCTTGTTCTCTTACTCTGACCCAGTGCTGGAAAATCAGCTCACAAGGAAGGAGAAGATGAAAGAAGGGTCCCTGAGATGGAGTGTCTACCACCACTATATCCAGGCAACTGGAGGTACTGTATGTCAGCTGCCATGCCAGGCCTGGGGCTCTCTCTCTGATTGGACCTGACTGGAATGTGTGCAGTCATGCAAAGTAGAGAGGCACAGAAGAGTCATGCCATTCACGGGTTTGACCTGCAAAATTCCAATCTCAGCCACACTCAACTACCACCATAGTCAGTGCTGGAAGTTAAGTTTCGTATTGTGTTAAAATGTACCTGAGATTTATTTTAATCAGGTATGGTAAGACATGCAGGCATGGAAATTATTGCCACAAAGGGAGAAGTTTATGTTCACAGGACCCTAGGAACAGGAGACAGGGTATGCCATGCAGGGCCACATTGGTCAGGAGGCAGAGGGAAGGCCCCAAGGCCTTATTGGGGTTTTTGTGGGAAGGAGTGGGTGCGACAGGGTGGGTATGCTGAGTAAGTTTAAGATTATATAATTTGAATAATTGGGGGGGAGGGCTCTGGGCTATAGGACTGGTCCCTAGTTATTTGGAACCTGGACCTGGGGTGATTTAGGGCAGGAATGTTGGTTGGGTGTGTGAGTTTGATGCAGGATGAGGTTGGGAGTGTGGCTGTGGGTTGGTTGATTTGTACATCCCAAGTGTGCTCACAAGGAGTCATTTGCTGTTTCTAGGAATTAGCCCTGAGAAAAGCAGTCTCCTCAAGATCAAGGCCCCAGCTGCCATAGCACCAAGAATGGAGAAAATAAGAAAATGTAGTTCATACAGTACTCTTTGAGTGTTTTTCAAACTTTATGTCCTGACCCACTAGTGGGTTCTGAAATCAGTTGAGTGGATTTTAAGCAGCACTGAAAGAAATCCGATAGAAGAGAATAGAAATTGTCTGCTTCCATTTCATACAGTGACATTGGTGAAGCCTTTATCCTGGTGTGCATTCAAAATACATTTCTGATGGTGGGTGGCAGGCAGCTAGAAGTTTCAAAGCTACTGCTTTATTAAAGGGTATACATTACCAAATTCATATAAATATAACTGTACAGGGGCGCCTGGGTGGCACAGTCGGTTAAGCGTCCAACTTCAGCCAGGTCACGATCTCACGGTCCGTGAGTTCGAGCCCCGCGTCAGGCTCTGGGCTGATGGCTCAGAGCCTGGACCCTGTTTCTGATTCTGTGTCTCCCTCTCTCTCTGCCCCTCCCCCATTCATGCTCTGTCTCTCTCTGTCCCAAAAAATAAATAAACGTTGAAAAAAAAATTAAAAAAAAAATAAATATAACTGTACAACTTTATAAACACAAAACCAAGTATATGATACTGTACTTTTTAAGTAATTTAAGATATTTGTGAGAGTAACTGGGACTCCATGCCAACTTTTTACTTTTGATTGAATTTGGAACCTAACCCCATGTAAGGTGTATCTTCTTTCTACTTGTCTAAAGGAGGAAGAGGTAGGCTGTTCATAGATCACCATCCCTATTCCTTCTACCATGGGTAGCCCTGCAGGGCATAACATAGTGCCTAGCCAGAGAGGGGAGCAGCAGATGCCTGCAAATGCATGAATGAATCTAGCAACCAATTGATCTGTATTTACAAAGTACTTATTATGGGCCAGGCACTGTGCCAAGCTCCAGAGGAGAGGGGGCATAAAGGCCTCCAAGGGCCAGTCATGGAATCTAGCTGGAGAATTATGACATCTGCATTACCCAGGTAGTAAGAAAGATCTCTGTGGCTAGGCACAGTCTCAGATGTCATCAAAGAAGGGGTGACCCTTGAGTGGAGCTTAAGGAAGGGTTGAATTCAAAAGAAGAAATATGGGCAAGGGGTTCCGTGGCTGGCTCATTCGGTGGAGCATGCGACTCTTGATCTCAGGGTTGTAAGGTCGAGCCCCATGTTGGGTGTATAGATTACTTAAAAGTTAAAATCTTAACAACGCACACAAATATGGGAACGGAGCACAGACTGAACAGGTGGGGAGAGTGCTGGGGGCAGGGACATCTACAGAAGGAAGAGATGCACCCTGGGTTTTCCCATCCTTGGCTTAAAAAAATTTTTTTTTAACATTTATGTATTTTTAAGAGACAGAGCATGAGTGGGGGAGGAACAGAGAGGGAGAGAGGGAGACACAGAATCTGAAGCATCCTCCAGGCTCTGACCATCTGCACAGAGCTTGATGCAGGACTCGAACTCACAAACCCTGAGATCGTGACCTGAGCTGAAGTTGGATGCTTAACCGACAGAGTCACCTGGGTGCTCCGCATCCTTGGCTTTTTTGAATCCAAGCTCTACCACTTGCCAGCTCTATGTCCTTGGGCAAGTTTCTTCCTTTCTTGGATACTCAGTAAATGGGTGCATGAATTCCAAATTCAGAGATAATGTCTGTGTTTAGTACTATGCCTGGCACATAGTCCATAGTAGCACATACCACATAAAAGGTAGCTGATGTCATTTTTAAGACTGAATCCTCAGGACCTGAATAAGGGAGACTACTCTAGAATATTTCTTTTGTGCCAGGCACTGGGTTAGGTGTTTGGCACACATTATCACATATCCTCTTCAGAGTGATCCCATGCGGCTGGTATGACTACCATCACAATTTCATAGGTAAAACAGTGGAATGACTTTTGGTACTTTGCTCAGGCTAACATAGCCTGTAAGTAGTAGAGTCAGGACTTGACTACTGGGCTTCCTAACCTTGGAAGTCCTCCAAGGTGTCCAAGGTGGATGGGGGTCAAGGAGATCCAAGGGATTGGGATGGCTGAGCAACTTTGTCAACCATTATCCTTCACCTTTTTATGGCACCTGTGTGTTACCCCTTTCCTGTCTCTCCAGGTTACATGGCCTCTGCCATTGTTGTCTTTCTCATGATGGGGATTGTCTTCTTCACAGTCTTCAACTTCTGGTGGCTGAGCTATTGGTTGCAGCAGGGCTCAGGGGTAAGTGTCATGGTGGGAGTGGGGTGTGTTTCTGTGGGCTGATATGGAGTGGGGCACCACTCCTTGGGCCCCACGAGGGTCAAAGCATGGGTCAGGGAACCCCATGGCAAGCCTGAAGCCTGCCATTGCCAAGTTGACAAATGAAAAAGCTCTAGAGAGGACCTCTGAGAGCCAGACGTGGGGCTTCCCTCCCAGCTCTGACCCCCAGTGTTCATAGAATGAGCGGTCACCAGTGCAGTCTCGTCAGGACAAAACCAAGAGGTTTATGTCCCCAGACAGGTCCTCAAGGGTGCTTTACATTCCATGGACTGATCTTTCCTTTGATAGCCCTTTTGCCTTCTCATTCTGCTTTATTTAAAATGTGCGTCTGGACTCCTTGTTGGGGGCTGGGAGGACACATCACAGTTAAACACAGCTGATGTTAGTGAAAGCAGGGAAAACACATTTTACTCAGTCACTACTAATGGCAGGGGAAAGAGCTGAAAGTCATCCGATTTGTGCACAGGTGATTTGGGTGTTTTAAAGGGAGAATGAATGTGGGGACTGAATAGAGGCAGAGGAGTGAAATTTATCCAGGGCTGGTGAGTGTGAATGTGATGAGGTCAGCTGTGTCCATTAGCTGGCAGTTATCAAAGTTAGGACTAATCTCCCACAGGGACTAGGAGACAGAGGCCCTATCCTTCATGGTGATTACATTTTAAAGACATGGTTCCCAGGTCCTTGGGAGAGATGCTCTGAGTTGTAAGAGCTATGTATTCACAGCTGTAAGCACTTTTTAGTGAGGGCTCCGAGAAAGGGAGGTCAGGGGCATGCTGTCAGGTGTTGGCTAGAACAAATGGTAACTTTTCCTGGTGGTGGTTGAGATTCTGCAGGTAGGCATTTTGATGGGGGGCAGGGGCTGGGGTCCTCCTAGGGACATGCCTTAAGCCACTAGAAGCCATGCTGAAGTTTGGTCAAGTCTCTTAGCACAGGGGTTTGGTTGGAATTATTTTGTGTTGAGAGACCTGCAGTTCTCAGCCATTATGTGCCTGCTTAATTCATTCATCTTCCCAACCACATTCGGAGGTGGGTTCTGTCTCCATTTTATAGAGGATAGTGTGAAAAAGAACCTTCCCTGGGATGTGAAGTCCCCTGCTGGGACTTGAACTTGGTTCTTGATTCCAAGCCATGTTTACCCAAAGGAGTACTTGGTTAACTTTTTAAAAATATTCTTTTTGAAATGTTTATTTATTTTTGAGGAGATTTATTTATATTTGAGTGGGAGCAGTAGAGGGGCAGAGAGAGAGGTGGGGGGCAGAGGATTAGAAGTAGGCTCTGCGTTGACAGGCTGACAGCAGTGAGCCAATGTGGGGCTAGAACTCATGAGCCAGGAGATCATGAGCTGAGCTGAAATCAAGAGTCTGCTGCTCAACCAACTGAGCCACCCAGGCGCCCCAATATAGCACAAATTCCTAATCACCATAGAGTGAATTTATCAAGCCTTTTCTACCCTGGCAGCCTTGTGGGTGCCTGATTCAGATGATCTGCCTCCCCAAAGAAAGAAAACTCACTATTTTGCTCTATTCCCACACAATCCTTCTGATATCTATTGTGCAGTTTTTTTCTGAAAGCAACCAACTCTCTAATGCTCTGGACAACATCTGTGTGTCCTACAATTCAAGTCAGTCTGACACCACCTGGAGTTAGTGCAGACTCCCCAGGTTAAGCACGCAGTCCCACAAGCTTGTCCCTGCTTCAGATGCCAATCACGAGTCTAGACCTCCTATAGTTCTGGCAGACCAGGTGTCAACTGGGGGTTCTCATGACCTCCTTTTTGGATTTGATCATCTGCTAGAATGGCTGACAGAACTCAGGGAATACTTTTACCAGTTTATTATAAGGGACATAATAAAGGATAGAGATGATTGGCCAGATGAAACAGTACATAGGGTGAGATCTAGAAAGGCTCCAGGTACAGGAGCTTCTGTTCCTGTGGAGTAGGGGTGCACAACCCTCATGTCATGTGAATGTATTCACCAACCCAGAAGCTCTCTAGACCCTGTACTTTAGGGATTTTTATGGTGGCTTCATCTTATAGGCATGATCAATTATTAATTCAACCTCCAGCTCCTCTCCCCAGCCAGATGGAGGGTGGGGTGGGGTGGGGTTGAAAGTTCTAAGCTTCTAGTAATGGCTTGGTCTTTCTGGTGACCAGTTATCCATCCTGATGCTATCTAGCCCCCTCCTCACACCAGACATCTCACTGGCTACGAAAAGACACACTAGCTACAAAAAGCAATTAGAGATTGCTCCAGAGACTCCAAGGGTCTTAGAAGATTTTATGTCAGGAATCAGAGTCAACGTCCAAATATTAGAACAAAAGATGCTCCCAGCACCCCTATCACTTAGGGAATTACAGGGATTTTAGGAGCTCTGTGCCAGGAACTGGGCACAAGACCAACTATATGTCTTATCAAACCACACTCTGTTCTCTTTTGAAGACCAATAGCAGCCAAGAGAGCAATGGAACAACAGCAGACCCAGGCGACATACTGGACAACCCTCAGCTGCCAATTTACCACCTGGTGTATGGCCTCAGTGTGCTGTTGCTAATCTGCACGGGTCTCTGCTTCTCGAAGGCCTTCACCAAACTCACGAGGAAAGCATCCACCGCCCTGCACAGCAAACTCCTTAGCAAGGTATGGGCTTGGGTATTGGCTGCTGTTGCAGGCTGAGCCCTAGCCTGTCCTGCTTTTCTTTCTTTTTTTAATTACTAGACTTCATTTTTTGGAGAAGCTTTTGGTTTAAGAAAAATTAAGTGGAAAGTACAGAGTTCTCATATGCCTCTTACTAATCTCCCAGTTTCTTCTGTTATTAACATCTTGCATTAGAGCAGGATGTTTGTTACAATTGATGAGCTACTATCAATACATCATCATCATCATCATCATCAGTCCATGGTTTATCTAAAGTCTTCTTTATTCTGTACATTCTATAGACTTGGACAAATATATACTGACATGTATCTGCCATGAAGCATCATACAGAACAGTTTCATGCTGTAAAAATCTTCTGTGCTGTACCACTCATCCCTCCTTTCCCCTCAAATTCTAACAACCACTGATCTTTTTTTACTGTCTCCATAGTTTTTCCCTTTGCAGAATATAGTTGCAAGTGCACGCTGGGCCACTGGGTGGGTGGGAGCAAGCCACAGAATGAGCTGGGTGCCTGGAAACTATCCTGCTGTCAGCAGTGTGATTCTAAAAGGTAGTGTCCCTTGCTGGAGGGCCGGGCACACCAATGTTGGCCTCTGTTGGCTGAATACTGTCACATATAGTGTTGCTTATAATTGTCCCAAGTTCCTTTTCAAGTGGTACTATTATCCTTATTTTACATACAAGAAGTCTGACATCCTTGTGTGTCCTGATGAGAATGTATTATGGTTAAAATACCAAACTGCCTCTTGGAAATATCATTGCTCTCCCCCTCACCAGATGTTACTATGTGCAGGTTCTATGGTGGGCATTGGGCTTACAGTGGTGAATGAACAATTCAGGTATGGTTCAGACCATCATGGCCTTATAGTCTACTGAGGGAGACTGATGAGAAAATAGGCTTGTTGTAACATAGTATGTAAAATTACCTACTGGGTGGGAGCCCATGGAGTCCTAAGAACCTAACCCCAGCATGTAGGTGATGGAGGGAAGGATGGAGTCCAAGCAGCCTTCTTGGAGGAAGGGACCTCTCTGCTGTGACCTGAAGGGTGAGTCACATTCAGCCAGCTTAAATTAGAGGTTGAAGAGAAGCAGAGCATTTCTGGGAAATTTTATGATGCAAATAATTATTATTTATTAATAGTCAAAATGCACTTTCCTTCTCCCTCCCTCCTCCTTTTATTCCTTCCTTTACTTTTGGCCTTAATAGATAGGATTAACTTCTATTTATGTTTTGTTCTTGTGTTACAGCTTGAGAAATACATGGGGAAACGAAGTGGTCAGTTGGTCACTTGCTCAGTGCCACAAACCTTTAAGAAATCCCTTCTGTAAAGAGTGTGGCTGTGCTGGGGCAGGGTGGTTGGGGAGCCTTGGGAGGTCTGGTCATGGTGTTGCCATTAACTACTTGGGTGACCTTGAGCAAATTGCTGAGCAACCTTCCCTTCTCTGGGCTTCAGTTTTCTCATCCGTAAAATGAGGACATGAACTAGATGCTTTTGCTAGAGCCCTTCCAGTACGAAATGTTCTTTGATCTCCAAAGGCCCTCATGTCCACTGCTTTTAGAGACCAAGTTAGGACACCATCTTCAAGAAAGGGCAGTCATGCTTAAATTCTACCCAAGACAACAAGTCATGTGCAATCGCAGTAGTATTGCTGCTACTAATCTTCGGTAATCCTGATGAAAATGGTCCCATTTGTAGAAAATAATAAGTGCTGGTATTAATGGAATGCTAATTAGGATGCAGGAACTGTTCTGAGACTTTTAGTGTCTTACTTCTTCCTCCCTCTCCCTCCCTCCTCCCTTCCTTCAATCCTTTCCTTCCTTCCTTCCTTCCTTCCTTCCTTCCTTCCTTCCTTCCTCTCATAACAGGTTTATTAATATATAATTCATGTAATTATAAAGCTCACCCTTTTAAGCTGCATATCTCAGAGGTGTTTTTAGTCTATTTGCAGACTTGTGCAATCTTCACCATAACTCAGTAAAGTGTTGTTATCATCCCCATTTTACAAATGAGGACATTGAGACTCAGAGGGGTTAAGTAACTTGCCCAAAGTCACACAGCAGTAGGTGGAGGAGTTTGCTAACACTAGAACCCAGGCAGATTGACTATGGAGCTCATGCTTTTAGCCATTGCTCTAAACTGCCTCCCTTGCACACCCTTTAGGCTGTATCCTGCATCTCTTCAGGGCTGAGTATAACTGACATCTTCATCAAGTTCCAGAACTATCTCTTGATCTGGGTTGTTTTTGTCACTACAGGTTTTATGCTGCCCCATGAGCTTCTTTGACACAACCCCAACAGGCCGACTCCTGAACTGCTTTGCAGGGGACTTGGATCAGCTGGACCAGTTATTGCCCGTTGTTGCTGAAGAATTCTTAGTCCTGTTTTTGATGGTGGTCGCCATCTTGTTGGTTGTCAGTGTGCTGTCTCCATATATCCTGCTGATGGGAATCATATTAGTTACTGTTTGCCTTATTTATTATATGTAAGTGGGTTCTTTGTGCTTGTGAGCTGGGTCTGTGACTTGGGATACCAGGCTGGTATGTAGAACTGGTTGGTCCCTGAGGAGGACTGCCCAGGTCACTCACTCTCATTCTTGATGCAGGAAGTTTAAGATGGCCATCAACATGTTCAAGAGACTGGAGAACTATAGCCGCTCCCCTCTGCTCTCCCATATCCTCACTGCTCTGCAGGGCCTGAGCTCCATCCATGTCTATGGAAAAACTGAAGACTTCATCAGCAAGTGAGTCCTGTGCTGTCATCTGAGGATGATGGGGCAGTGGGGACTGTGGGAAGCAGGAAGGTGGTGAACAGAGGATCTGGAAATAGTGTTCTCTTCACATTATTTTATTCCATTTATTTCTGAGCTTCCAAGACCTCATCTATAAGATGATGCATATAGGAATAAGAAATATAAGTGATGCAGGAAATATTTGTAAACCTTAAAGACCTGTAGATATTGCATACACATATTAATATAATTAATAGTAAGAAGTGTTGCTGGGTCAGCACTTCTTGCATTGTTCTTTTTCTTTCACTTCCAAACAGGTATCTAATTTTAATAAAATACACGAAGCAATAGCTTTCTAAATAACAGAATTTCCTTCACTATTCATAACTATAGGTTTGTATTCTAAATGCTTGTTGATACAAACAAAAACACCCTATGATGGATGTTGAGCCTTAATTGTATCATATGAACTTACCCATTTGTAAAGATCAATCACACATGATCTGCCTTGAACTATAAGAGGCTCACAGTCTGGTGGAAGACAGGAGACACATACACACATTTTTGTAATAATACAGGGTTAAAAATGACTAATAACATAGGAGAAAAGCAGATAAAAGTCCATAAGGGTTCAGGGGGAACTTTAAAAAAAGGGGGGATGCCTGGGTGGTTCAGTAGGCTAAGCTTCTGACTCTTGATCTCAACTCAGGTCATGATCTCATGGTTTGTGGGATCGAGCCCCACGTCAGTCTCTGCACTGACAGTGTGGAGCCTACTTGGGATTCTCTCTCTCCCTCTCTCTCTCTGCCTCTCTCTCTCAAAATAAATAAATAAACTTAGAAAAAAAAAAAGACTTCAAGGGGGAAAGAGGTGGCATTGAGCCATCTGAAATGGGTTTGAAGCCTGGTAAGATTTGAGTGTGGGAGACAGTGTATGTCTGGTTAATTGGAATAATGGATGAACCATGGAACCAAGTCTCTCAGTGGGACTAGAGAGCACTCAAGGACTGTGCAGGTGCTGGGATTGAGGGCATCTTCAAATGATACATTCATTTACCTACTGGGTGCTCAGAGCCACAGGAAGATGGTAGTGAATAAGACAGACACAGCCCCTTCTCCAAGGTGGATAGATACTTGGAAGGGGTTGCTTCCCCTCACTCATGAGTAGATCCTGACATTTATTCACTCTTATTGTCCTGGGTAGGGAACTTCCCCTAACTGATGATCAAGGCCTAGGGAAGAGCCTGGGCTGATAAGTCAGTCAGAGCCTACTCCTAGATCTGGGGTCAGGTCAACTCCATGACCGAGAAAGGGGCAGGGAGAAGGCCCCCAAAGATAATTCAGGTTCCTTGGGTGGAGTGGGGAGCCGGATGCTGGAGGAAGCAACCAGTGTCCACTCCCAGGAAACTCTGGGTTAGACAAACACATGTTGTTTTCAGGTTGTCCTTTCTTTCTCAGGTTTAAGAGGCTGAGTGATATACAAAATAACTACATGCTGATGTTCCTGTCTTCCTCGAGATGGATAGCACTGAGGCTGGAGACCATGACCAACCTGCTGACCTTGACTGTGGCCTTGTTTGTGGCTTTTGGCATTTCCTCTGCCCCATATTCCTATAAAGCTATGGCTATTAGCCTCATCCTGCAGGTGAGGGAGGGATTCTCAGATAGTGGGGTTTTGGCTTGTGGCCTGTGGACAGACTCAGGGGTTCATGGGACTTTGATAACACCTTGGGTTTGGCCATTTGTGGCTTTATGAGTTGTGTGCTTGGCCTTCTGAATCTTCTGCTTTCCTGTTTTCCTGTCACCTCTGAACTGGGAAGTCTATATTTAAAGCTATTTAATGGAATCTTAGAGTATTGGGATTGAATGGAGCCTGCAGGCAGTCCAGTCCAACCCTCTTATTGTGCAGATGGGGACATTGAAGCCCAGAAAGGGAAATATTTGTCTGAATGTATAGAGCACTAGAAGTAGAGCCAGAATGGGGCACCTGGGTGGCTCAGGCAGTTGAACATCTGACTTTGGCTCAGTTCATGATCTCATGGTTCCTGTGTTCAAGACTTGCGTCGGGCTCTGTGCTGACAGCTCAAAGCCTGGAGCCTGCTTCAGATTCTGTGTCTCCCTCTCTCTCTTTCTGCCCCTCCCCTGCTTGTGCTCTGTCTCTGTCTGTCTGTTTCTCTGTTTCTCTTTCTCTCTCTCAAAAATAAATAAACATTAAAAAATAAAGAAGTAGAGCCAGGGTAAGAACCAAGACCTGTTATTTGCTGTCTGGTATGTTTTCACTTTACTATCATTCGTTGAGTTAGCTATCAGGCTTCCTTCAGTTATCTAAGGAGTCATCCAGTCCCTCCCCTGAAATAGATCTTCTCAGACTTTAAAGTGCACAGGACTTGAAGCAGAACACTTTGCCCCAGCCTTGCAGGAATGTTCGGCCTGGGCACTGACAGGAGGACCATGCTCTAGAGCACAGCCTTGGGTTTTCAGAGTCAGGTCCTGGGTGGGTAGGGTCTCGGAATCTAATTTTAAAAGCAGATTCTCTAGGGGATTCTGATGTAGCAGCCTGCAAAGCTCCTGGCCTGAGTTCCTCCACGTCCACTACACTGGGGCATGAGAGGGTCTAGCTGGCCAAGTTCATGTCTGCAGGGTCAGTCCAGTGGAAGGGCTAGCCACAAGGGCTGTGAGGCCAGAGGCTGGCTTTGCAGCCGCCTGGGGGAACACTGGTTACACAGTTCCAGCTCCCCGAGGGGGTGCTCATTAACTGCCTTCTCTATGGTCATGTGGCTTTCTCTCTAACTGGCTTTGGGTCTCATGTGTCCCAATAGTGAGGCATCTTTTGGGTATGCCAAGGGGCTCCATCTTGCTCCTTGTTGAGCCCCTGCAGCAGGTATATATTTGCATAAATATGCAGTCCTGTACATGCACAGCCATGCCTGTGTGTGTGGAGCCTTCTGCAGGCACCCAGGCCATGCAGGTGGCTGTGCTGTGCTCACACTTGCAGACAGCTTACCAGTGCAACAACATGGAATGTACTAGACACTTGCACTGAGCTAGCACTTTGCTAGGTGCTTGTTGCACTTTCTTGCATTGAATTCTTACTACATTCCACGAGCTATAGCAAAATGGTTAAGATTGTGTGCTTTGGAATGTGGGTTCAAGCCAGGCTCTGCCCATTATTAGCTTTGGGGAAGCCTCTTACCCTCCTTGTACCTGGGGTTCTTTATTTTGTAAAAAGGAGATAATACAAGTTCCAAAATTACAGATTTGTGAGACATGTATAAACATGAGGATTAATGCATGTTGAACACCTAGAACAGTGCTTGGCCCAGAATAAATGCTCAGTAAATGTTAGCTGTTACTGTTCCTCACTTACAGGTAGGAAGTCAGAACTTCAGAGTTCCGTAACTTGCCCTGGTTCCCACAGCTGGTGAGAGATAGGTTTGTCCCTAGTGGGTCACACTCCTCTCCTCTCTGTCTTCCTCTCTCTGACAAATACACATATGCGCATGTGCACGCACACACACACACACACACACACACACACACATGCATGTGCCAGTGCAGAGTTGCCCCCAAACCTTCCAAAACTCAGGGAGAGGTACCACACTGGTGTCAAAGGGGATCTGGAGTCACCAAGGCCAGATATCCCTCCTGGTTCCTATATGACATGGGCCAGGGGGGCAAAGCTTGGGACAATGTTATCGTGTGCTGGCCCAGGCAAGAGGGGCGGGGTCTCATCTCTCCCAGGGTGCACTGTGCACATGAGGCACCTCTCAAAGGTCTCCCCAGCTTGTTCCATCACAGGAAACTAGTTAGGAGTTCTGCTGGAGGCTTCAAAATGAAGCCTGAGGTGACTGCTTCAAAATGGCCCTGAATTTATTTTTTCTTCTCCACGTCTGCTGTCCTGTTCAAGTGTCTCATCTCTATCCTAGGTAGCAACCTCGAAGCCTCCTCTCCTCCCCTTGAAGCCCCTCCTGTCTACCTCCTACATCTCACCAGAGTGACCTTTAGTTACAGTTTTCCTGATGTCACTGTCTTGTTTAGAGCCCTCAGAGATTCCCTGTCTCCTTATGCTAAACCTAAGCTATGGGCCGTGCCCTCAGGCCCCTCAAATCTGGCCCTGTGACCCCAGCATACATCTTTCCTCTGGCCACACTGGTGCCTTGCTGACTTCTGCATGCACTCTCGATGAAATTATGTTCAAGCTTTGGGTAGCAGGAATCACACACCATGTTGCTTTGCAACCTTAAGAACTGTAAATAATTGAGATGCTCCTGGCCTCCAGCCAGCAAATGCTAGAACCAGTTCAAAATGGCCTTGGCAGTTTGGAGGCTTATTATGTGATGTATCCAGAAGGCTGGGGTAAGCTTTTCTTTGTTAATTTAGTGACCTAGCATGAATCCATGAGCATTCTATCTTTTTGCCCTGGCATCCACATCCTGGCTTCATCCTCAGGATTGTCTATTCAAGGTCACAAAATGGCTGCTGCAGCCCCAAGCAACATATCCTCACCAAATAACCACCAAAAGTTAGAAAGGAGAGAACTTTTTTCATGTGCCCTGTTTTAAGAACAAGGAGCAGCTTCCCAGAATACTCCCATCTGACTCTTCCTCATGCTTCATTGGCCAGAATTGTAGCATGGCTCACACCTTAAACCTATCAATGATAAGAGGAATGGAGTTAACCAAGTCTCCCTGGAGCACCAGGCTGCCAGATGCCTGAGCATAATGGAGGTTGTGCTAGCAAGAAAGAAAAAAGGGACCGGCTACTAACAAGGCAACCAGCCATGTCTGATACACTGACTGGAGGAAAGGCAGTCTCCTTGGGCTCCTTTCCAACTGTCAGTGTCATTTCATTATGGCATCCACCTTCTCTGACTTCTAAAGGGCTTTCCTTCCCCTTCCCATACTCTTTGTTCCAGTCATAGCCGAATGGCATGCAAGGCCTTGAATATATCCTGCTACTTACTATTTTCAGGACTTTGTCCCCTCTCTATGGAGTGCCCTTCTCCACCCATTTTTAACCTGCTAAATCCCACCTCTCCTTAAAATGAAACTCCTGTGCCAACTGCTGCAGGAAGACTTCCTTGTGGCCCTTGTCTGGGGGGACCTTGTCTGGGGGGGTCCTTAATGGCTCCCCATAGTGCCTCCCAGGGTGAAGTACATCCACTTGTGCTGGCATTCTCTGTTGACCCATCTGTCTCCCCACCTGACTGGGAGCTCCTTGAGGGCAGGGCCTGGGTCTGTTGCAGTTTGGGGCACAGATCCTGGCTTGGCACATGGCATAGAGCCCTCAGGGAGTGTGCTGAATGAATTCATAGTGAACTTATTGTCCAGCACTTTCTTCATGGCCTGTTTGCCCACATCTTGGACCAGGGGGATGGGGAGTATGAAGATTGGGTTCCCCATCTCAGCTCTACCTCCAGGTTCCAGGTGATTCTGTGTATGTTATTTCCTCTTTTGGGCCTCAGTTGTCCTCATCTCTGGTGCCTCCAATTCCTGAGCATCCCTGAGACTCCTTAAAGGCAAGGCCAGAAACAAGGACTTGGGTGTAGGCAGATTATTTGAGATGTGCTCCTAAGAAACATGACTGAGGGAGCAGGAGAGAGAGAGGCAGGGAAGGAGAAACTCTGTTATGGGCAAGTGTCATTGAGATTGCTGTTTCTGGGTCACCACCTCTCAACTCTACTGGCACCTTCTGAGAAGCAAATAGGATGCTCCCTGGATTGTCCCCCAGAGACTGAGGGACAGGAGCCTTCATTTACTGGCTCCTTTCCCCATTAGTTGAGGGTTTGCCCACAGCACTTTCACTCCCCTGTGTTTTGGGGCTGCAACTGTGCATGGACAGAAGGGGCTCCTGTGGTGTGAGTGAAGGTTTTGAGCAGAAAGCAGAAATACACACAAAGGGTACTTGAGGTGGGATAGTGTCAGTGGTGTCTTGCCCAGAACTGCACGCCATCACGCAGCTAACCTCAGAAGTGGGCTTGGGGGGCACCAAAGGTATCTGCTCCACTCTTGTAAGGAAATTGTCTTTGTTTGAGAAGTCATTCAGGAGGGGTGGTGATGAGTGTTTTTTAGGGGCATTGAAATCCTAAGCACACCCCTGTCAGTTTCTTGACCTGATGCTTCTCCTTCACTCCAGCTGGCATCCAACTTCCAGGCCACTGCCCGGGTTGGTTCAGAGACAGAGGCGTACTTCACTTCCGCAGAGAGGATGCTGCAGTACATGAAGGTGGGATGCAGGTCTGGGTTCGGTGTGGGGAGCTCAGGAAGTTTTCACACCCATGTCTGGGGCTCAGCTTCCATGGCCTCTGCAAGCTCCAGCACCCCAGGGGTCCTGAGACTTTTTCAAGAGGCAATTGCAGCCCCTCCCCATCTTCCCTGGACCTGTGGATGTCATTTCTTAGAAACCCTTCCATACTCTATGGCCCATTTTCATCACATCCCCCACAGCTTTCCTGGATGTAGAGAGAATAATCTGCCCTTTTTAGAAATGAGAGTTTTGCCCAAGTATAAAAACAATAATAGTGTCAATAATAATTGGTATTATTATTATTATTGCTTCTATTTGTGTTAGAGTAGTTAAGAACACAGGTTTTAGAGCCAGATCACTTGGGTTCAAGTCCAAGCTTTGCCACTTGAGTCAGCCGTGTAAACTGGGGACAGGTCACTGTATCTACTTCATTGGGTTATTACAAAGATTAAATAACACAATATGTAAAGCACTTAATACAGTGCCTGGCTCACAGTAAAGGCTCAATATTTTTATATATAGATTATCTCATGGAACCACAAAACACTTTTATAAGGTTGATTGAATTATCATCCCCCTGGAAGAGGAAACTGAGGCTTGGCCAGGCTCAGCATCTTGCTTAAGATTGCACAGCCGGGGACTGGCAGAGCCTTTAAAACCAGTTCTCCAGCCCCTGTTAATAGGAGCAGAATTTGTGAATCATAGAACTTTGATTTAACATGAAGGGATGCTATTGTACATAGCACCTGTGGTGAAAGGCTGTGACTTGTGGATTGTGCTTCTTTTCCATCATTCAGGCCTCAGGACATACCCAGCTGTGCTTGATTCAGTTATGAGCTTGAAGTCAGGCAGTCCTGGTCTGAGTTCATAAGCTCTATGATCTTAAATAAGTCATTTAACCCATTTGAGCCTCTATTTCCTTGTGTGTGAAATGCATTTAAAATTACCTACCTCATTGATAAGGATAGAGGGAGCATAAGTCTGCACAAGGCCGCTGAGCTATAAAACATGCCCCAAAGGGGTCAGTTAGCTCTGCTGCCTTTATTGTCACTGTTCTAGATTCTATTTCTTTAGAGCCTCACATAATAAATTAGAATAAGTTCTCTATGTTAATAACAGGGGGGCTAGCCAAATGGTCTCTCACTTTTTGGGGTTAAAATTATGTGCATGTCAGGTAAGTGGAGCAGGATGTTCCTCTTGGGGTGCTCCTGCGATTACACAGCTGGTGGCTTGAGCCCAGTGTGAGACAGGCTGGGGTGGGTTACACACCCAACAGCTGGAAGTCAGTGGGTCAGCAGGAGATAGGCAGAGATTAATGATAACTATTTATTTCTTTTTCTTTCTTCAAAAATGAGATGTGTGTCCCTGAGGCTCCTTTGCACATAGAAGGCATGAGCTGTCCCCCTGGATGGCCACAGCATGGAGAAATCACATTCCAGGATTATCAGATGAAATACAGAGACAACACACCCATTATCCTCAATGGCATCAACCTGACAATTCATGGCCAAGAAGTGGTGGGCATCGTGGGAAGGACAGGCTCTGGTGAGTGGCATGTCCTGGGGCACCCCCTGTCCTCAAATTTGACCTGTGGGTGTTGGACCTATTTCCAGGCATGTGTTTACTCAGTGACCCCACAGATGTTTATTGGGCCCTCACTTTATACCATGCACTAGTAAACAGAACCCAAGGTCCTGCTATCATGGAAAAAGTCCTGCTTTTCCACTGGAAAAGATAGGTGTTAAGTCATCAAATTAGGAAATAAATAAGGTAATTACAGATTGTGATGAATGTCATGGAGGAAGTAAAAGGGTGCCATTAACAGAGTAATGGGGCTGAGCTCTGGTGAGCTACAGTGGCCTGGGCTCTGAGGCCAGCATTTTAGCTGAGCCAGGAAGGATGGATAGGGTGCAGGGGAGGAGTGTTTCAAGCAAAGGGCATTACAGGGCTCTGTTAGGGCGAAGAGCAGGTCCAGGAGTGAAGTCCGGGTCCTGCTTCTCCTTCCTTCTTACCATTCCTAGACCTCTCTTATCAGCCTCCTTCTTTGTCCTCTCCGTTATGACTTCTTTCCCTCCCTTCCTCTCTTATTACTTTTGGGAGGTCTGGTCTAAGTGTAGCTCCCTCCTTTTTTACATTGTTCAAAGACGCTCCTCAGACTTGATTCTTGCCCCACTCTTGTGTGCCTAGGAGCTGCCTCCTCCAGGTAGACCTCTAGGAAGACAAGAACCTTCATGGGTCTCCACTTCCTCAGGCCCCCTGCAGGCCTTGCACTCCTGCTAGGTGAAGAGCTTCTACCTGTGTTCTTTGGTGTGTCCTTCCCTTTCTACTTCTTGCCTGCAATTGGCCTGAGAGGGCTGCAGTCTGACGTAGAGAAGCTACTATGGGTCTAGGATGTGATGAAGAAAGGTGAGGAGGGCAGAATGTTGAACTGGAGAGCACTGTTCTCTCTCAAGGAAGCAGCCACACTTAGCTCCTGCTGCTCGTTATGTGGGAGGATGTGGGACTAGTGTTGCCAGTTCTAGGATTCAAGAAGAGCATGCTATTTGAAATTTTGTACATAGGAAAAAAAAAAGAAATTTTGTACATAGGATCTTTGGATTTTTTAAATGCTGGCAAAAATTTAGAAAATAACAGTAGCACTGTGTGTGTGAAACAGAATATATGAATGGCTGGATATACCCAGGGGCTCCAGTTGTGCCCTCTGATCTAGGCTGTAAGAAATCTGCTCATGGTTTGGGGCACCAGTTGGAGCAGAGACTCCACTCCTCTTCTGCTCTCTCAGGGCTCAGGATGACAAAGGATGGGCCATGGAGGGAAGCAGGTCAGGTGTGAACTCCAGGTGTGGCCTGTGCTGCTTCTAGTGCAAATCAGGAAACTGCCTTTAGTGCCCCTGCATATTTCTTGCCCAACAGGGAAGTCCTCCTTGGGAGTGGCTCTCTTCCGCCTGGTGGAGCCTGCAGCAGGCCGGATTCTCATAGATGGTGTGGACATCAGCAGTATTGCCCTGGAGGACCTGCGGTCCAGGTTCTCAGTTGTCCCTCAAGATCCTGTCCTGCTTTCAGGAACCATCAGGTAAAGCAGAGGATGGGGTCCTGGGAGGGGTGGCAGGACCAGGATGCCAGGGCTGGGCTGTCTTTGGTTAGCTGGTGCCCAGTGCTCCAGTTTTGGGGCCTCTGATCTCTTGGCAAGCTGGGCCACTCACTGGGACTCACTGAAATGTTCCTGAAGATTGAATGAAGCCCTGATATACACAAGAGCACTTTGTAAACTATAATGTGGTAAACAAAAGAAAGGCATAATTTTTAGTTTTTTAAAAACTGATGGGATTGGTCAGATTTTAGTTCACCATTAAGCATTTGCATTATGGCTACCATTTTATTCTTTTATGTCTAGATGTGGTTTATTCTATTCTCTCCTCCCACTGGATAAAGCTGAAGGAGGCATTTAGGCTAGATGTTAGGGAACATTTCTTCACAGGATGCACATTCCAGGCAGAGGAGAAGTGAACAAGAATCCAGGCAGTTCAGTCAGCAAAGCAGATGAAACTGGATCTTTCAGCCTCTTCACCTTTCTATTTCCTCAGATGTCAACTCTGGGACTAAACTTTATCCAGATTCATACTCCTACTTAACAGTGCACATTAAAGCTATGTTGGAACATTAAGGCATGGAGATTGAGGAAGTCTAATGCATTAAAAATGAAGCTAGATTCCTCATGTTTTAGGGATGTTTAAGGGGCATTATCAGAGGCAAGAGGATAAACTGACCCCTAGAGCTCCATTCAATCATTTATTCATTTATTCATTATTACTTCCTCCCTTTCTTCCCCTCCTTGCTTTCTTCCTCCCTTCTGCCTCCTTCCTTCTCTCCCTCCCTTTCATTTCTTCCTTCTATCCCTCCCTCCCCTTCCTTCCTCTGTCCTCTTCCTTCCTTCCTTCCTTCCTTCCTTCCTTCCTTCCTTCCTTCCTTCCTCCCTCCCATTCCTTTCTTTCTTCCCTCTCCTTCCTTTCCTCCCTCCCTTTCCTGCTTCCTTCCTTCCATCTTTCCTCTCTCCCTCTCTCCCCCCTCCCTTCTTTCATTCATTTAATTTACCTTTTCTGAGGCTTTCCTAGGTCCAGACATTGTACTAAGGCCTGAGGACACTTGGATGAATGATCACTGCCTGTACTCCTCCTGAGGAGTTCAGAATGTAGTCATGGGGTGGGTGGGTGGGTATAATACACTTAGACCAGACCTCCCAAAAGAGACATAAGAACCAACAGATTATAATACAAGGGGATATTTACCAGATCAGAGATATGAACAAAGTGTGAAAGGAGCCCAGAAGTAGGTCAAATAGCCCTACTTGGGTGAATCCAGAAAGGCTCCATAGAGGAAAGGATATTTGAGCAGAGCCTTGAAGGATAAGTAGGAGCTTGTCTGGAAGAAAAAGGGGAGAAAGACTTTTTAGGAAGAGTGCATAGTATGTGCACAAACAGGGGACTTTAAAATGGTTGTGTTAGGGGAATGAGATAATATTTAGTGATAGATCTCTGTGTTAAGCTAGAACCTGGACAAATCTATTGTGCCTTGGTATAGGTGTAATAAAAATATGAATTAACATTTTTTGAGCATTTATATGTGCTAGCCCATGCTTTAATGTTCTGTCTCATTTAACTGTCACCCCAACCCTATGAGGTAGGCACTACTGTTACCTTACTTTATAGGGGAAGACACTGAACTTAGACAGGAAAAGTGACTTGTTTCAGGAGACACACAAGTAAATGGTAAAGATGAGGTATAACTCCAGGTAGTCTCATGCCTTAGCCAGTGATATTCCCCCCTTGCAGCAGGGAGAAGTGTGAACTAGAATAGAGGAGACCTGGGTTCTCTATCCATTACAGTTTCATCTATCTCTGAGTGTCTCTGATTCTAGCCTATCTCTCAGACTGACTTGTGGTGTGACCTTGAACAAGCATTTAACACTGATAAGCCATAATTTCCCCATCAACCAAAGGGGTATACCCATCCCTTGAGGGGAAAGGGTGTCAATGAGTCTGTCTATGAAAATGTTTTGGAGACTATCGAATATCATGCAGATAAGACATTTTACCTCCTGCTTTAATACAATCTAGCCCTACACACAAAATGTGTGTGTCTGCCAAAACTGGGGACAGATAAAGCAGAGATTAAGAATAGGTTTTAATCAGAGGTGCCTGGCTGGCTCAGTTGGTTAAGCATGTGACTTCAGCTCATGTCATGATCTCGCAGTTTGAGAGTTTATGAGGTTGAGCCCTGCATCAGGCTGACAGTTCAGAGCCTGGAGCCTGCTTCAGATTCTCTCTCTGTCTCTCTCTCTCCCTCTCTCTGCCCCTCACCTACTTGTGCTCTGTCTCTCTCAAAAATAAATAAAACATTAAAAAATATTTTGGAGAAAAAGAATAGGTTTTAATCAGGACTGAGTGGTTGCATAACGCAGGAGAATTAATAATGTTGCCTATGCCAAATGAAAGTGAAAACTTTAATGGGTATAAAGTCCAGGTAGATCCCAACCTGATGTTGCTTGGATGATCGATTAGGATTTTTTTCACTGCAAAAGACAGAAAAATCAACCCCACCACAGTGAGATACCACTTCACTCCTACTGGGATGGCTATAATGAAAAAAGAAAAAGGAACATAATGAGTGTTGGCAAGGATGTTGAGAAACTGGAACTCACGTTCACTGCTGGTGGGAATATAAAATGGTACAGCCTCTGTGGAAAACAATTTGGCATTTCCTCAAAAGTTAAAAATAAAGTTACCATATGATCCAGCAATTCTTCTTCTAGGTAGATACTTAAAAGAGGTAAAAGTGGGACTTGAGCAAATATTTGTATATCAGTGTTATATAGACTGTTCAATGGTTGCATGTGGTTATGGAACACTTCTCTTCTTATACGGCAGATTCAACCTAGACCCCTTTGACCGCTACACAGATGAGCAGATATGGGATGTCTTGGAGAGGACATTCCTGAGCATGACAGTAAGTAGCTCCAAGACCCAATTTTTAGTTTTAGCCTGCCTCTTCAACAGCGGTGCCTGTTGGTCCTTTGGGGCTCATCTCACATGATATTCCAGATGCTGCCATTTTGGGGCATAGATAAAATAATCTTATGGAGATGAGATGATTTTGGATTCCTAAATAAAGTCTGATGGCACTCAGACACTAACAGTGAACCAGGCATGTTCTAGGCTCAGGGGACACAGCAAAGGCAAGGTAGGTAAAGTGTTTGCCCTCCTGGTGCTTACATTCAATGGGAGATAAACACAACAAATAAATGGACACATGAGATACTTTCAGGTAGTAACAACAGTTACTTCAGTCAGGGAGCAGCTTTTTTATGTGGAATGGCCAAGCTAGGCCCCTTTAAAGATGGGGCATTTGACCTGAGATCAAATGTTGAGGGGGCAGTAGGGTACAGATCTTCAAGAGAACATTCCAGCACAGGAGCTAGCATATACAAAGACCCTGAGATGGGAGTGAGAGAGGCACAGATAAGGAAGAGAAATATCAGCGATTGGAGTATAGAGAGATGAGGAGTGTTACAAAGTGTGATAGGGGAGGTCTGATGGGGTCAAGTTAGGTCTCACCCCACAGTGGCCGGCATGCCCACATGCCTATGTAGTCTATATCTCATTTTCCCTGATATTACAGATCTCAAAGTTACCCCAAGGACTGCAAGCAGAAGTTGTGGAAAGTGGCAGAAACTTCTCTGTGGGGGAGAGGCAGCTGCTCTGCATTGCAAGAGCACTCCTTCGCAACTCCAAGGTGAGACCACAGATGGCGCCCAGTTTGGGTAACCACACTGGCTATTTCTCCCTCCATCTCCACGGGACAGTGGGTGCTATGCTATACATTTTCCCACAAATACACAACAGGCTTCCTCATGTCACCGATTGCTAATCTTCCCATATCTTGAGTGTGGGGGGCACTCACGCTGGGCTCTCTCAAAACTCTGATACCCTGCAGCTAAGCTGAATGATCCACCACTGGAACTAAATCATGATGCATTTCCCTTAAAAAAGTTAAAGTTGAGAAGCTTATTAATTTAACAGTTTTCTATCATATATTCTTTTTAAAACTTGGGTATAAGACATTCCCTTGTCTTTTTTTTTTTTTTTTTTTTTTTTTTTTGAGAGAGAGAGAGAGGGCACAAGTAAGCAAGGGGCAGAGAGAGAGAGAGAGAGAGAGAGAGAGAGAAGTGGGGCCCACACTCACCTAAAGTGGGGCTTGAGCTCACTTGATGCAGACTTGAACTCATAACTGTGAGATCATGACCTGAGCCAAAGATGCTTAACCAACAGAGCCACCCAGACGCCCTCCCTTGTCTTTGTTAGAGCTGGAAATCAGATGATAGCTGTTCCAGAGCTAATTAATTAATTAAAGTTTCAGATGTAGAATTTAGTGATTCGTCACTTACATACAACACCCAGTTCTCACCACAAGTGACAAGTGCCCTCCTTAATACCCATCACCCATTTAACCCATCCTCTTACCAACCTCCCCTCCAGCAACCCTCAAGTTTGCTCTCTATAGTTGAGATTCTATTTTCTGGTTTGCCTCTCTTTATTTTTTTCTCCCTATGTTCACCTGTTTTGTTTCTTAAATTCTACATATGCATGAAATTATATGGTATTTGTCTTTTTCTGATTGATTTATTTCACTTAGCATAATACTCTGTAGCTCCATCCATATCACTATAAATGCAAGATTTCATTCTTTTTGATGACTAATATTTATGTAAATATAAATATATATAAATATATAATATAAATAAATATAAATACATATATATGTGTGTGTGTGTGTATATATATATATATATATATATATATATATATATATATGCCAAATCTTTTTTTATCCATTCATTGGTTGATGGATATCTGAGCTCTTTCCATAGTTTGGCTATTGTTGATAGCACTGCTATAAACATTGGGGTACATGTGCCCCTTCAAATCAGCACTTCTGTATCCTTTGGATAAATACCTAGTAGTGCAATTGCTGGATCATAAGGTAGTTCTACTTTTAACTTTTTGAGGAAACTACCTTTGCTAGTCAGGAGCAAATTTTCTCAAATTATGTCACACACAGGTACTCATATGTACACATATATCCAAAGGATACAAAAATATAGATTTGAAAGCGTAAATGTATCCCATGTTTACAGCAGCTTTATCAACAATAGCCACACTATGAAAAGAGCCCAGAAGTCCATCAACTGATGAATGGGTAAAGATTTGGTATATATATATATACATTGGGATATTACTCAGCAATCAAAAAGAATGAAATCTTGCCATTTATAATGATGTAGATGGAGCTAGAGTGTATTATGCTAAGCGAAGTAAGTCAGTCAGAGAAATACAAATACCACATGACCTCACTCATGTGGAATTTAAGAAACAAAACAGATGAACATATGGGAAGGGGAGGGGTAAAGAGAGAGGGAAACAAACAATAAGAGACTCTTAATGATGGACAACAAACTGAGGGCTGATGGAGGGATGTGGATGGGGGATGGGCTAGATGGGGGATAAGGTATTAAGGAGGGCACTTGTGATGAGCATTGAGTGTTGTATGTAAGTGATGAATCACTAAATCCTACTCCTGAAATCAATATTGCACTGTATGTTAACTAACTAGAACTTAAATAACAATTAAGAAGAAAAGCAGGCAGAGCTCAGTGGGGTTGGAAGCTTGGGGGAAGGTTTCACAGGAAGAACTATTCCCCTCTTTCTAGCAGAGATGAAAGACAGAATTTGCAACATGCATGTAGCAATTTCTTAACTACTTAGTTTCTAATTTTATGGTTACTAGGCTACTGGTGCCAAAGTTGCTTTCTCTATATTGTTTCCCAAATTTGAGTCATCACTTTATGACTTTTGTCATATCTACATACAGTCTCTCCTTTGACTTATCTGCGATGCTCCCCCCCCCCCCATTTTTTTTTAAAACAGCCTTATTCTAGGGGCTCCTGGGTGGCTCAGTCAGTTGTGTCCCAACTCTTGATTTAAACTCAGGTCATGATCTGAGGGTTGTGAGATCAAGCCCTGTGTCCAGCTCTGTGATGAGTGGGAGCCTGCTTAGGATTCTCTCTTTCTGTCTCTCTCTCTGCCTCTCTTGCCCACTTGCATGCGCTCTCTCTCTAAAAAAAATAATAAAACCAAAAAAAGCCTCATTCTATACAGTAACAGTTGTGAAATCATATTTCTGTGCTAGTTATATTTTTCTAATGCATATAGTTAATAAAATAAAATAAAAATGTTAAAGTAAAGAGAATGTTTATCCATATACTAGCCACACCATCTCATGTGCCATCCGAGGGTGTGCATATGCCTCACTTTGGGAAATGCCAGTCTGTGTTAATTCAGGCAAATAGGAAGGCAGTTCATAAAACAAGAAGTTGTGACTGGGACATTTTCATTTTCAAGAACTTAATTCTCTGGTTGCAAAAAAAAAAAAAAAAGCTCTTGGTCAAGACCTAACATTCTCTTCAACATAATGGACAATTAGAGCTCAGAGTTGGTTTTAAACTCGATCCAAATCTTTCCATCTTTCACCTGAGGGACTCAGTGGATTAGTGGTAGACCCAGGTCTAGATCCAGGGCTCAGGGCCAGAGGAAGCTGCCTTCACCCCTGTTTTGTGTCCACCAGATCATCCTTATTGATGAAGCCACAGCCTCCATTGATGTGGAAACCGATACCCTGATCCAGCACACAATCCGTGAAGCCTTCCAGGGCTGCACAGTGCTGGTCATTGCACACCGCATCACCACTGTGCTCAATTGTGACCGCATCCTGGTCATGAGCAACGGGAAGGTGAGACTTGAGTCCCTGGGGCAGTGGGAGGACGGGTGCTCAGGCTAGCACCCCAAGGAGGCCTTTGGATCCTTCAAGGCTGAGCTCAGTGGTGTCCCTCCCTTCTCCTCCTTTTTCACTCTCCCAGGTTGTAGAGTTTGACAGGCCTGAGGTCCTGCAGCAGAAGCCTGGGTCTGTGTTTGCTTCCCTGTTGGCAACAGCCAATTCTTCACTGAGCTAAAGGGGACCGGTGACTGTGTGGAGGCTGATGGCACAGCCAAGTGCAGCTGTGAGGCCTGCTGTCTATGACCTTCTTGTGTAGAGATGGCTACTTCTCTTGAAAGCAGGGCTGAAACATGCTCAAGGTTGCTGGTAATGGGACAGAAAAGAAGATTGAGGGGAGCAAAACCTGGAATAGGCCACTCTGTGGCTCCCCAGACCTGAGAACCCCCGCACACCATTTGAGACCATGTGGACAAATCATCATGTGCCTCTTTTTAACTGATATGTTGAGTAATTTCATAATAATGTGAAACTTTATTATGGTTTCTGGATCTGTGTGAAAAGTATTGAAAATGCTGTATTGATTTTGTAAAAAAAAAAAAAAAAACAACAAAAGAAAAAGTTACATTGTCTATTCTGCTTTTTTGTTAAGCTAGTACTCCATTCAGCTGCAGGGAAGAGAGATTCCCTCAAACGGACTTCTGGAAAAGGGACTTCTTTGGTTAATGTAATGGAAAGGTCCAGAGAAAGTTCTAGGTTGGGGGCCAGTACCTAAAAGACATCTGCCCTGTGAACTCTGCCTCTTCTTCTCTCAGTGATACTCTTCTTTTATGGCCTTACTCTTTGACCTTCTCTCTCCTCATGGTGGTAGCAAGGCTGCCAACAGCACTAGCCTCACGTCCTACCAGCTTAGCACCCTGGAAAGAAGTTTCCCCAGATGATACCAGGAAAAGTTTCACGGCTAAATTTCATTGGGCCGACTCGGGCCATGTGCTCATCCTGAACAAGTCACGTGCTAGGCTGCTAGATACAGTGACTGCTCAGGCCCAAGTCACCTGTCCACACCTGGACCTGGGGATGGGGTCAGCTGCCCTGAATCATATGGACTGAGAATGGAGGGGGTTATTTCTCCAAAATAAATTTGGGGTGTTCTTACTACATGAAGGAGAAATGGCCATAGAAGCTGGGCAGGCCCCAAATAGTAGTTGTCTACCATGTTTATTTACTGATTAGAGCATAAACGGGTGGAAAAAGGGTTAGTTTATAACATGTGCCAACTGGAAAAAAGATTACTTATCTCCCCACTCTTCCAATAGCAAAGGTAGTTATTTTCAACTTACCTCTAAGAGGAGCTCATTGGTGGGAGCAAAATGTTTCAAAGTATTTCCTTTTTGTTTTCAGATTATAGTGTTTGATTTGGTCAAAAGAAAAATTGACTCAATGGGGCACCTGGGTGGCTCAGTAGGTTAAATGTCCAACTTTGGCTCAGGTCATCATCTTGCAGTTTGTGGGTTTGAGCACCGCATTGGGCTCTGTGTTGACAACTTAGAGCCTGGAGCCTGCTTCAGATTTTGTGTCTACCTCTCTCTCTCTGCCCCTCCCCTGCTCACACTCTGTCTCTCTATCAAAAATAAATAAACATTAAAAAAGAAAAAGAAAGGTTGACTCAGTAAGCAATTATATCCTGCTCTGTTTCTTGCCCTGGGGTAGGTAGTGCGGGTGTAATGATGTCCCTTTGCTCATGGAATTTGGAATCTTATGAGAGTGAACAGTAAACAGATGGTTCCAGAACTGAGTGGCAGGAGGCAAGGACAAGGTTCAGGAGATGTGCACAATTAGAGCAGGCTTTCGGGTAGAAGCAAGATTGTGGTTTGCTGAGACATTAAAACTGAACAAACATTTGCTGGGGCAAGGAAGAGTGTTCTAGGCAGAGAGAACAGCAAACAAATCCCCATGAGAAAGAACTGTGACAAGGTGATGCAATCTTTGGACCAGAGGACAAAGCTTGAGTCCCAGAGTTAGTGACACATATGCATCGCCTTCTATTCCCTTCCTGGGGTTTTTAGGTAGCCCCTGCTTCTCTTTTTAAGGCCATTCCCAGGTGAGTGTCTTTTCTCTCTTAAAAATCCCTTTGCCCAGTTTATCCCTTTCTCCTCTGCCCTTGCCTTTATCTTCTTAGGCTCTGAAGAGTGCCTGGGAGCCCCTCTTGCTCCTCTCCATTGCAGTGCTGGGGTCACAGAGCTGCTCATCTGCAAGTTGAAAGTGACTCTATTTACCCTGCTCTGCCCCCTCCCAGAGCTGCTGTGGGACAACTGCATGCACCACTTGTGAGAGGGAACTCCATAACCTGAGTGCCACTCTGCCATGCTACTTCCCTAACACCAGATTTAGCAACCATATTTTCCTCAAGTTAGCCAGCAGATGGCAGACTCTTCCCAAAAATGAGAGGAGAGACTGCAGGTTTCAGATATAGATCTACTGAAGTCCACCAGGGGAAGTGTGGACCCCTGAGGTAGAGCACAGAAGCAAGAGCCCATTTCCACTCTGTCTTCAGGGCCCCATCTTACCTTCCCCTGAAACAGCCTCTCTTCCTGGAATGGTTCTCAACCTTGGCTGAACATTGGAATGACCTAAGGAATCTTTAAAGCACTGATGTCCAATTGAGGTTTTGATTGATTTAGAATGGAGACTGAGACTGGGGATTTGTAAAGCTTTAGGAATTTAACGTGCTGCAAAACTTGAGAACCACTGGCTCAAAGCAGCAATAAAACAGAGCTTTTTGAAAAATTATATGTGTATTTTAACAATATTGGTAATATTTTATTTTCTAAGCTGAGTGGTTAAGTATATGACTTTGTTACTGCTAGAACTGATACATGAATTCAGCAAAGTCAGGGTACAAAATCAATGTACAGAAATTCGTTGCATTTTTATACACCAATAATGATGCAACAGAAAGAGAAATAAAGAAACTGATCCCATTTACAATTGCACCAAGAACCATAAAATACCTAAGAACAAACCTAACCAAAGATGTAAAAGATCTGTATGCTGAAAATTATAGAAAACTTATGAAGGAAATTGAAGAAGACACAAAGAAATCGAAAAACATTCCATGCTCATAGATTGGAAGAATAAATATTGTCAAAATATCAATACTACCCAAAGCAATCTACACATTCAATGCAATCCCAATCAAAATTGTACTGGCATTCTTCTCAAAACTAGAACAAACAATCCTAAAATTTGTATGGAGCCACAAAGACCCCAAAAACCCAAAAAAATATTGAAGAAGAAAACCAAAGCAGGAGGCATCATAATCCCAGACATTAGCCTCTACTGCAAAGCTGTAATCATTAAGACAGTATGGTACTGGCACAAAACAGACACATAGACCAATGGAATAGAATAGAGAACTCAGAATTGGACCCACAAATGTATGGCTAACTAATCTTTGACAAAACAGGAAAGAGTATCCAATGGAAAAAAGACAGTCTCTTTAGCAAATAGTGCTGGGAGAACTGGACAGCAATATGCAGAAGAATGAAACTAGACCACTTCCTTGCACCATACACAACAATAAACTCAAAATGGTTGAAAGACCTAAATGTGAAATGGGAAACCATCAAAACCCTAGAGGAGAAATTGGGCAACAACCTGTTTTACCTCAGCTGCAGCAATTTCTTGCTCAACACATCTCCAAAGGCAAGGTAATTAAAAGCAAAAATGAACTATTGGGACCTCATCAAGATAAAAACTTCTGTACTGCAAAGGAAACAATCAACAAGACTGAAAGGCAACCAACAGAATGGGGACAGATATTTGCAAATGACATATTGGATAAAGTGTTAGTATCCAAGATTTATAAAGAACTTACTAACCTCAACACCCAAAACACAAATAATCCAGTGAAGAAATAGGCAAAAAAAGACATGAATAGACCCTTTTCCAAAGAAGACATCCAGATGGCCAACAGACACATGAAAAGATGCTCAACATCACTCATCATCAGGGAAATACAAATCAAAGCCACACTGAGATACCACCTCACACTGGTCAGAGTGGCTAAAATGAACAACTTAGGAAACTACAGATGCTGGCGAGGATGTGGAGAGACGGGAACCCTCCTCTACTGTTGGTGGGAATGCAAACTGGTGCAGCTGCTGTGGAAAACAGCGTGGAGCTCCCCAAAAAATTAAAAATAGAACTATCTTACAACCCAGCAATAGCACTACTAGGAATTTACCCAAGGGATACAGGAGTGCTGATGCATAGGGGCACATGTACCCCAATGTTTATAGCAGCCAAATCTTGGAGAGAGCCTAAATGCCCATCGACTCATGAATGGATAAAGAAGATGTGGCTTATATATACAGTGGAATAGTACTTGGCAATGAGAAATAATGAAATCCTGCCATTTGCAACAACATAGATGGAACTGGAAGGTATTATGCTCAGTGAAATAAGTCAACCAGAGAAAGACAGATATCATATGTTTTCACTCATATGTGGATCTTGAGAAACTTAACAGAAGTCCATGGGGGAAGGGAGGGGGAGAAATAGATACAGAGAGGGAGGGAAGCAAACCACAAGAGATTCTTAAAAACAGAGAACAAACTGAAGGTGGATGGGGGTGGGGGAGAGGGAAAATAGGTGATGGGCATTGAGGAGGGCACTTGTTGGGATGAGCACTGGGTAAGCCAATTTGATAATAAATTATATTTAAAAAAGTATATGACTTTGTTTTCTTTAATTCTTAAATACATATTTTTGGGCATCTGAACTATTTTGTAATAAAATTTTAGAAATTGCTATTTGTTATTTCAGAAACAATGCAAAAATAATTGTCATGAGAGAATGTAGAACTTGGTTCCACTTCCTTATATTTATTTAATGGTTTGCTGTTATATGTATTTTCAATTACATCCCAGTGGAGAGGAGACCAGAGTATTTTTGGTGCCCAGGTTTTTTTTTCTTTAAATTTGAGTCCCTAATTAAATTAATTGATTGTTGTTGTTTTAAGTTTTTATTTTAATTCCAGTTAGTATACAGTGTAATATTAGTTTTAGGTGTACAATATAGTGATGCAACACTCTCATACATTACCCCGTGTTCATCATGACAAGTGTACTCCTTGATCCCCATCACCTATTTCCCCCGTACCCTCACCCACCTCCCCTTTGGTAACCATCAGTTTGTTCTCTGTAGTTAAGAGATAATAGCGTGGGCAGAGGATGG